TAAACCCAACGAAGAAGCGTACAAAAAAAACTACTCTGAAACTAAAGCCAAATCTGAAGTGTTTCGCGGTTGGCACGTCAACAGGCGGCGGCGGTCGACGTCGACGTCGCTGTCGTCGTTGGCAGATTACGCCGGCAGATAATTAAAATCGTAACTACGTTTACGGCGGTGTCCGCACAGTGGGTGCGCATGGTATGCGGTGAAAACAACTGAAGGCAATCACAATTGGACCACAATTACACAGATCAGATCCAATTTTTAATAAAGGAGAGGGAAAGACTATTCCTTCTGTCCCCTATTATTCCTTTATAAATGGCATCCTCCGAAGTAACTCTCACATTTTGCACACTTATTTCCACTGACGTTGCGCTGACTTTCACGACCCACTGTAATTTACCCATGCCTGTGTCTATGGCTAAGTAGAAGCGACACGAAGCTCTCTTTCTGGCAAGTACTTCGTACTTCGCACTAACCGAGTCGAAAATTAGGTTTTCCTAACCCCATCAACAGCTGCTCTTTTTTTGCACTCTAGATATAGAGCTGAGTGAATTAACTCATTCTTATTTCGCCATAATAAATTCCACAGCATTCATTATTTGCATATTAAAAGGTAAATAAAGAGTAGAGCAGCAGAAAAGTAAGTTTAAGTTTTAGTTGAGGCATGTTGAGGCCTGTTTTATGAGCTAATCATGGGGTAATGCAATTCAAACTAATTGAGCGACAGCTGAGAGAATGAAGGAAGGTCTTGGAGTGAAGTGGTATGTGGAGCAGTACTAGATGATAATTTGCTGTCAATGGTTTGTGGGTCAACAGGTGATAGATGGGCCTCGGAATGCAGCTTTCATAGGGAAATGTATAGAAAGTGATCTTCTGGAAGACACATTTTCCCCTAGGGCCTGCAATTTTCCTTAATGATTGCAAATAAATTACATGTTTCCCTCCTCGTAATTTGCCAAAAATTGAACGCCAACGATATGCTTCCTCCTGGCCCCAACAAAACGGCATACAGAGTGCTTCCATGGGAAGACTCGTCTTATATCGCTATTTATTTGCACAATTCCGGTTTTCGGATATTCCCTTGCCACTCCTTTAGCTTCGTTTTTTGTGTGTGTATTTTTACACTACTATTTGCTCATCTTGCAGGGACAGAGATCCTCAATAGGAGTTCGAACCTGCCGTTTCACGAAAGCCCTGCACTGTATAACGAAGCAGCGACCAAAGAGAATGAACAGACAAGGAGAGCGAATGAGATGGAGACGGGCACGACAGCTGTTTCCCGCTGAAGAACATTTGACACTGAGATTTTTGGAGAGGCGCCCACAGTGGTGCAGACAAGACAAAAAGCAAACATATTTAAGATTGTCCATTGACACTGACACAGTGACACGCAAAAAATCGATAGTATTTCAAAATAAATTGCAATTTTAACAGAGTCCGTCGTCTAGTTAACATAATTAACCATGTTTACGCCTCTTCCTCGATACGCTTTGCTCAATTATTTCCCACTTAATCGTCGGTTTTGTATTTCGTTGAATTTTTGTTAAACACTGTGGATCTTTTTAGTATTTCCAATTACCATTCCGTTTGTTGGTTAAAATATCATTAATGTTGCCAACAACAACGCACATGGAACGAGGGGCAACCAGAAATAGCGGGGGTGCGCGACGCGCGCAGCTGAATGTAGTTTTACGTTGGTTTTGCACTAAACACGAAACGCGGACAACAACTGTGGAGACGTCGGCGACTGAATTTGAGCGTGTTTGGGGAGCAACTGACAGCCCCAAAATGCGGTGGAGCCGCTGAAGCTCCCGTGGAAGAAGGAAAAGCAACAAAAGTGCAAGAAGAAGACGAAGAAAAATAAGCAGCGGCAAGAGTAGTGGTGTAAGAGAGAAGCGAGCAAAGCGACGGTGAGCGAGAGAGCGGCACCACAACGCAAGCCGCCAAAGAGACGGAAGCCCAAGGTGAATAGAGACAAGGTGAGGCACTACTCTATTTTTCTTTAAGTGTTTTTTGATATCACAATGTTTTCTTCTTGATCGGTAAAAAGTTGATACTATAAACCATGTCTTAAACAATATTAGTAGTTTTCTTGAACATTCTTCCTCCCGCTCTTTGCGCATTCTGCTGGGTGCAGACATTGAACATAAAATCGTCAGATCGTTTCTTGTTAACGGCTCACCTTGAACAAACACACCTTGTGTTGGCCGCTCAAAAGGTAAGACAAGACTTTACGCTACGTAAACCTCTTGAGGCAGGTTGCGTCGCTGTGGTGAATTTCCCGTTTGGATACAGGTGTGTGTGTATGTTTGTGCCTGTGGCTGCACCTTTCTGCAACACGTTGTTGCTGCTGCTGCCGCAGCGTTGTGTTGCAGCTGATAGTCGATTCTTGTCCTAAAAATAGCACTGGCTGCGCGTGTGCCACAATTTGGCTTTATCGTTGATGGAGCGTTAGCCTATCATTAGCTGGACATTCGCTGGGCGAATACTTCTTTGGGTGGGAGTGTAATACACACTGTGTATGTGTGCTTCTGTGTTTTTTTGGCGGGGGAGACAAGCGCTTTGGCGCGGGAACGTTAAATTGGCAGCACCATGCGTTTAACGGTGGGGCCAACACATTCGATATGCTAACTTAGTAGCCAATTTGTTGCTTAAAATTGCTATGCGATTGACTGATTTACTTAGTCGATTTTTAAAGCCTCTGTTTAATGGGACACTTTAAACGGACTAAAGTTATTTAAAGTGGGTTAAAACTGAGAGGATTGTGACACTTAAATGTCTGTTGAATAAACGTTATACTTCAGAGATAGTTTCCTTAAAAAAGGAACAACTATTAGATACAAATATAGCATGCAGTAGTTTTTTACATTCTCTTTCTACGCGCAATAGCGGGAAAGATAGAAAATACGGAAATTTACGTAGAAATAAAACCTAAAACTTTTCTTCGCAGGTTTTGGCAAATAAATATTAAATTTCAGAGATAGTCTCTTTAAACAGGGGAAAAGGATTTGATACAAATAAAACAACGCTTATTTAAAGATTGGACAAGGATGAATAAATACAAAACAATTTTAAATAGCTTTCCAGTCTCTCTCTATGCTAAAAAGCGGGAGGGATAGAAAATACAGAAATTATCATCGAAAAAAGATGTAGCACTTTTTTCATGTCTATAGGGAGTTTCCCCAAGTTCAGAGACAAACAAATGTCGATTCAGACTTCAAATATGTTAAAGTAACAATATGTTAACCAACAAAAGCAAAACGAAAGACGATGGTACATGAACTAATAAAAGAGTTGTCTCCAAATTGCCTTGAATAACAAAAGAGCAAAGAAGAGGACGAGAAAGAATGAGCAAACGCGGGAGAGTGAGAGAGCGATCACAGAGAAGATGCCAAGGAAAAGACAGACGTCGAACAGTTTGATGGAAGAACACACACAAGACAGACATGAGTCATCCGCGAGTGTTGTTTTCATCCACATTAAAATTGTGTTTTTTGCGTTTGTGTATAATTGTGCGATAAACGAAACTAAATGTCTTTTATAATGTAATTTCGGTAATCTTTTGGCGCGTTTTTTGCTTTGGTTTTCACGCATCAATGCCGTTTAGCTATTTTCGGCATAGCGGTTCATGCGACAGACAGAGACAGCCTCTGTTTGAGGTTCAGAGGTGAGAACAATAGCTGCGAAGGCACGGGACAGATTGACAGCGGTTCAGAGGTGAGAAGAACCCGATACCCCGCCCGAACCCTCCTCTCATGGTAAGTTGAACGGACTTTCGATTTTTAATGTTCGACGGAGACTTTTTATGGCCACATTTGGCGGCACAAAGTCAACAATTTTCGAGGAGTACATAAGCTGAGAATCGAGTGTATAAATATTTGCAATCTCCCTTTGTTCCCTCTGCTAAATGCTAAGCCCGCAGAGCGGTGGGATGAGGTTACTGGAATTCACAGTTATTTTTGCTCTTTCCCACTTGATTTGGCTTTATGTTCATGTTAATTGCATTATGACCCATTTAGCCGGGAGGTTCTCTGCTGAGATTCCCTTGTTGAACCCCATCAAACTGGAGCGCAAAGTCAGAGTACAAAAAAATTCGCAGAAGAAGCGACCCGCTGACTGCCCCGCAGACAGAATGTAATTAAGGGGGAATTTTTGTGTGATTTTGATACCCTTTTGCCGGTGGGGAGTATAACATTCGTAACATGAGACACATTTCGACTTTATGCATGATTTATTTACTTATTATTTTGACTTAGATTTATCTATATATGTAGCCTTATTCTATTTTATTGTTAATAATTCTTCATTAATATGAATGATAAAGTCAAAATGACCACACATATATTTTACAGGGCATTTATTTCTCAGCACTAGTTATTTTTCTCTTCTTCTTCTTCTCCCTTTGCTGCTCCGCATTTTGTTCTGACATTTCTGTGCTCTGTTGCGATTGTCTTTTGTTGTTAGTGTGGGAGTGTGAGCGAAAGAGAGCCTGCGGGATGACAGCCTATGGCTGACTCACGGGCTACCCTCCCCTCTCCCGCTTCCAAAAGCCAGTGATCACAGACACTTGGGGACTCTGGTGTACTGAATCTGGCGCGAGAGAGATGCCAGATTCTGATAACTGTAGAATTGGGTGTGAGCGAGCGCACCTTGACTCGCCCTACCCATGCTTTGCCCTTTGTCATATGAGCTTACAGCTGCAGTGCAGGGTAATTGATACAGTGGGTGTCATAAGTCCTGCCGATAAGACCATTGAATGTGAAAGGCAATTGCGGAATGACTAGATGTGAGTAAGGGTCTCTGCTGATAAGTGAGTGGGAGTATCTGACTAGCTAATATGCTCCTTCTAAATGAAGAAAAGTGAGTGAGGGTATAAATAAACACAAGTGTAGGCGTCACGATAGATATCGAAATAAGACGAGACGCGGGCAGGCTGCCAAAAAGACTGCAATATGTTTAGAAACCATGAGCGAGGGGGAGAGAGAGGGTGGTTAACTACTTACCCTTTGCTGTTGTTGTTGTAGCTGCTGATGGTGCTGCTTTGGTGGCTCGTAAAAGCTGCTGCCATTCTCCAACCACTCCACATCTCTGCAATATCATAATATAGAGAGGGAGAGAGAGAGAGAGAAGTGTGCATAAGCAACCACATGTTCGACATTGACCAGAAAACAAACGAAAGAAAGCACTCTCTCTCGAGCTCTTCGAGCTTTCGCTCTCCTGCTACCCACCTTTGCATGCGCTGTATGACCGGCCTTTGAGCGGTGCTATCGTGGATGCGCACCTGATCCGGCGTGATCTCCTCCAAGAGGAACATATTTTTGCTGGCCAGAGAGGAGCTCTCATCCAGAAGGAACATATTTGTGCCACTCTCTTGTGCCGCATCGCTGCTGCTGTTGTTGTAGAAGAGCGGACTGAGCGGCCGGCAAGCGCCACCCAAAAGCTCATCGATGTTCTGATGCCGTGAGATGAAAAGCTTCTCACCTGGCCGCCTCATTTGAGGGGAGAAGCGCGGCTGCAGTGACGATGGTGTCGCTGGCTGCGCTGCCGGCATTGGGGCTCTTCCCATTGGAATGTTGTCGTAGGGCGAGGGGCAGCGCAGTCGCTGCTCTGTCGGAACGGGACTGGCGCACTGCCCCAGCGGCGGTGGGCGTTCGGTGTAGGCAAAGTGAAAGGAGCTGCTCAGCTCGTGTGGCACCTCCAATTGGTGCTGCTGTTGCTGCCTTAGATCTGTCTCATCTCTGCCCAGGCGCTGCTGCTGCTCCTCTTCCTCCTCCTCTTCATCGCTGCTGGCGTTGGCAGCGACCGCAACTGCAACTGCGGCTGACTGCGCTGCCTCTGGCTCATCCTGCAGCCACCAGGCCCGCTCTCCCGACTCCCAGTGCTTGATGATGCGGGGCGGGGGTGTGGGTGGCTTCACTGGCGGTGGCTCCATCTCTTTCTCCTTCTCCTTTTCCTTCTCGTTGTTGTCCTGCCACCAGGCCCGCTCTCCGGACTCCACGCGTTGCACATTGAAGAGCTTCTTGGTGGGTCCAGACATCCACCAGGGCTTGGGGCCGTCGTCGCTGTGGCTTTTTGAGTTGCTCTTGGAGCCGCTCGGTAGTTTCAGGGTCACCTCCACATGCGTCTCATTGTTGTTGTTGTTCTCGTCCTCGTGGTAGCCATTCGAGTGGAGAGGAGATTGTGGCAGGGACTTCAATTGCGGTGGGGATTGTGGCAGGGAGCGGGTCAGCGGCGGCGACTGTGGCAGGGAACGTGTCTGAGGGGACTGCGATTCCAATTTTGCCTGAGTCTGGGACGGTGGCTCCTCCTGCTCCTCCTCCAGCCACCAGGCATCCTGATCCGGTGAGATGCGGCTCCTTGGCATCTGCTTGACCTTGGAGTGCGTCTCCAGTTCGTGATCCTGGCTGCTCCAGTGACTGGGATCATCATCCAGGGGATTAAGTGTCTCCTCTGCCAGCGTATCGTCATCTCCCTCATCGTCCGCCTCGCTGCGGCGCAGCCACCAGGCCTGCTCCTCCCCAGAATCAATGTGTCGCAGCCTGTACGGGGGCATCTCACCGTTCTGATTATTCTGATCCAAAGCTGAGGCTGTGTTTATCTGCAGACTGGTGTCCTGCCACCAGCTGGGTTCCTCCTGGCTCGGGTCCTGCTCCGAAGTGGTGCTCAGGCTGGTGTCCTGCGTGGCGGTGGTGTTCGTGCTGCTGCTACTGATCGTCGCTGAAGTTGTGGCAGTGGTAGTGATCCTTGTGGTGGCGGGACAGCGTGTACTTGAACTGGGAGGACTCAGTGGGGATCTCGTTGAGGTATTCGCTTCGCTCGTGGGCGTCGTTTTAGTCGATTTCGACGATTTCGTTCGCGGTTCGTTCGTGTTAAGATCTGTGACCAGACTGATAGATGGTGGGGCCTCCGGCTCCCCAGAGCTCTCTGAGCTTTCGAGGAAGATCGGTTCACTATTTGCGTCTTGCTGACGATTCGCGAAAAAATTCGACACCGACGAGAGCTTCTGCAGGCGTCGCGTTTGTGGCGATCGGTTCGGTGGTGCAGCCGGTGCCACCGGACTCTCACTTGGATCGCGATCGGCATTGTTCCTCTCTGGTGAAGGTGACTCAGGTGTTGCGTTGGCGGCTGGCGTATTCGATTTGCGGCTATTTTGGTTGGCCAACAATTGGCCGGCATTGCCGGCAACGACCTTGCCTTCTTTGGGCGTCTTCTTTTTGCTCTGTTTTTTAACGGTCTTGACCCCACGCTGCTCACTGTCCGAGGCGGAGGTGGAGGAGGTGGCCGCAGAGGATGAGGATGTGCCCTGACGACTACCCGCCGAGGAGGACACCTTGCCGTTGCTCAGCTTGGAGCTCTTCTTTCCAGAACTGGCAGAGGCCACACTCACCTCAGAGCCGGCACTTGGCGAGCGCTCCAGTTGGCCAGAACCAGAGCCTCCATTGGTCAACACATCCTCGGATTCCCCGCCACTGGGAGTGCGAGATTTGCGCGGCCTGTCCGTGGGTCCCACATTCAGGGAGCTCTTGCGGAAGTCCTTGTTGGGCCACTTGACGGCAGAGCTGCCCGAGCTGGAGCTGGAGCAGGTCTTGGTGGGTGATTCACTTTTGGTGGGCACAGCCGGTGGCTTATTGGCCAGATTCTCCACGGAGGACTGGCGTGAGGTATTCAGACGTATGGCCTTAGGCGGGGAGAGCTTTGATTTGCTGGCAGACGCAGAGGATTTGGCGGAGCTTCCATTACTCAAGGTGCCATTACTCTTGGTCGCTGGACTGGGCACCTCTGCCGACGATGCCGATGACTTTCCCTCCACAGAGGGGGACGCGGATTTGCTGGACAGCGGACTGGCACTGTACCGAAGGCTGCTGATCCGATCCCTGTGCGGGCTGTAGGTTGGGCTGAGGCTGCTGCTGCCACCGCTGTACCGCAAATATCGCGTGGAGTCGTCCAACCTATCCGACTGGATCTCCTTCTCCAGCATCTGGCGGGGCTTCGTGGACCGCTGGATGGTCTTTTCGATGGTCTTGGCAATGTCAATGCGACGCGTACGCTGAACGGTGGTGCTGCCCGGTGGCGTGGGCGATGTGGCACGCGTCACCACCGACACTGAGACAAAGATTTCCTCGGGCTGGGGGTCTGGTGCAACCTTCTCCTGTTCCTGCTCCTTCTCTGGGCTTGCCTGCTTGCTCTTTGCCGCCTCTTCAGTTGGTTTCTCTGGGGGACTTGAGGGCACCTCATGCTCCTTCTCTCTGCTGGCTCTGGCTCGACTGGCCGTTCGCGCATGAAAATCGCTTGTGGTCAGGTAGGAGATGGCACTGCCATTGCTGCTCCCATTGCTGATCCTCGATGGAGCGGCGCCAAAGCGACTGCCATACCCATTCCTGGCAGCCGACGACGAGGAGGAGGTCGAGGCATTGCCACTGCGATAGCTGCCACCCAATTTGCTCCTGCCGCTGTCGATGACCGGACTCGGATCCCTCGACTTGCCACGGTTCGTGTGTTCCAGTGCCACGGGACTGGGATCTCTGGATCTGCCGTACTTTCCCAGTGTGCTGCTAGTCGCTCCCACTCCTGTATACCGCTTGATGGGACTGCTTCGCTCACTGGCTGTCGTCTCCTTGGGCTCTGTCTTGGCATAGCGACTGACGTAGCTGGTGACGGGCGGTGGTGCGTTTGTTGGCGGATCTCGCTTGAGGCGGTATGTGCCGCCCGAGAACGATGGCCTGTAGGCACTGGGCGTGGCCAGAGAACTGTAACGCGAAGTGGAGTCTGTTCCTACTCCATACTGTGAGGGAGAGAGAGAGAGAGCGTGAAAGTTAGTGAGTGAAAGGGAAGACTATTTATTTGCGGACTTACCGAAGAGCTTCCTGTTTTGTAAGAGCTGCCCAGGCTGGACTTCCAGGGTGTCTGCAAAGAGAGAATGGAACAGGATTGGTTTTTGCACATTAAACATATTTAAAATTATACACAGCCAACTTTTATTCATACGAATACAATTTTGGATGCACCTTTCAGATGTGCTCTACATATTTAGGGGCATTTCCATGAAGAAGGTTCATTAATCTTCTGCATTTTCTTTGTATTATTCTTCGAAATCTTCATTGGGGTTTCTCATTCAAGTATAATTGATATTGATAGGGGGAATCACACATCACATGGTGTGGCTTTGATTGATTGGCGCACTTAGAGCACAACAACAATTGACTCTCCGGCAGCCACCCCCCGCCTGATCGAACTTTCTCAATGAGCTGTGCACTCGACAATTATTCGCACACATTTCATCATCATCATCATCAACAGCAGCAGCAGCAGCAGCAGAAAGGCATCCCATCTCCGGCATCATCATCAGTCGCCGCATCAGCCTCTGTCTGAGAGAACATCAACATCAATTCAGACGATGCCAAAGAATCTCCCCCAAGTTTCCCATTGGATCCCCAATGTTATTTGTATTTTTGGGGGCTGCCTGCTGCTGCTGCTGCTTCTGCTTTGAACTCGCTTCAATGCATTTTCCCCAGCCTTTGGCTCTATTTCATTTTCAATTAAATGGCGCTGTAGCACGCGTTTTTCAATTAATTTGGACGTGTAAACAGATTCATTTCGATTATTTCAACATCTGCCTTCTAAACTCATCCAAGCATCGGGGGCATTAGAAGATCTCGCGCCCTCGTCCTCTATATAACGACAGAGACACATCTTGGCCACACGAAAATATCTGCATATATAAATATTTAGAGAACCAACGTGTTCAGGTGGTGTCCAGGAGACAGACAGACAGACAGATAGATCGACCGTTTAATATTGCAAAATAAAATTTTGGCACAGAAAAAGAACTTTGCACCAATTAATGCAGATAATATTTAATGAGCAGTTGACAGAGAAACGGCGGAAATTGTACAAGATTTTGTGTAAAATCTTCCATTTTAGAAGACATTAAAATATATTCCCTCTCTTATACCTCTATTGTGATAATTTCCCACGTGATTGATGGAATTCTTCAATAAAAATTCTTCACTTTAAATTAGTTTCGATACAAAACAACTGCCTTCCCAAGTGGCGCCAGTCGCCCCCTTAAAACATCCCATGACACCTATCAGGGCCTAAAGAATAATAATAATAACGAATTCCAGCGACCGCCCAATGTCAGACCCAACATAGACAGAGAGAGAGGTAGCAATGCAGTCAGAGAGAGTGACAGGGGGCAGGCAGCCCAGAGAAGACAGAGCAGAGACAGCAAGACAGACAGAGAGACAGAGAGTGTCGGCTAATTGTTTTCGCTCAGTGAAATGGAATGCCAAATACACAAATAGCCACAACAATGTGCAAAACAAGCAAACGGAGACGACACTCAGCCTCAGCAGACACCGGAGGAAAGTCTTGTGGGCTAGAGATAGATGTGGATGTAAATGTGGCTGTGTCCATGGATGGGTCGTCTCTGGAATGAGTTTGCCATATGCCCCTCTCTCACAGTGGAGTGCGTACTTCTGACAGCGTTATTATGCGGACTCAATTAGGGACCCCCAGACCCCAGGCACAGGATGTGCCATAAAGCGCCTGTCTGTCAGTCGAGCGAGTCTATAAAGCACAGCCACAATCCAACAAACAAACTATAACTATGTACATGTGTACAATATATATTTGCGAGTCCAACGATCTCAAGTATTCGCGTGCCATGCGTCCGATGTCCGCCAGACATGTATGATTTATTTATAAATGTTTTTTCCTACTCTTCGCTGTCAAAAGTGTCGACAAAATGCGTTTTACGAAATTCAAATGTGTTACGAAAATAAAAGTGAAACCAAACGAGAGCTGAGCAGGATGATAAATCTAGCCAAATAGATGATTAAATGATAATCGTGTATTTCCACAGATACTTTTTGCAAATGCATAACAAAGTGTGGACATGTTTGGGAATTTGTGTTCTAAATTGGGCTTAGGAGCCCAGAGCTTGTGGGTGAATTGGAATTTGAAGAGTAATCAGTTGAGGTATCTTCTTCTTTTGCGGCAAGTGCAGTGGAGAACGGCTCGTAGTCGTAGTCCCATCCCTGATCATCCTCCTGCTGCATCTGTTCTTCATCTGATGGATTTTCCTGCTTAAGAATCTCCTCCTCCTGCTGCTCTTCCGTCTGCTGCTCCGTCTCCTGCTGGCCTGCATTTTTATTGCCAAAAACTAAACCCAAGTTTCCAGTCTCTGGCACAAAGGGATCCCAAACAGGCGCCTTAGAGGAAAATGTAGCAATGTTATCTCGCATTTGGCGCATGCTCATCTCGAAGTCAATGTCCTGGACGTTGCGTGGCGGCTTCTCGTTGGTAAAGGGTCCATTGAAGTGCACATAAATGTCGCCGAGTGCTGTCAGATCCAAGCCGTACGTGGTCAGATCTTCGCCAAAGACCAGCTGGGTGGCCACCGGATTGGTGTGGCTGGAACGTATGGCCGAGAGTAGACCCAACATTCCGTATTGATCCTGGATCATCGAGGCAGGAATGTCGGTGAACTGTCCATCGTGAGTGCTCCGGATGCCACCCGTCTGGCAAGCTGCCTGCAATCCGACACAATCCATGCAATTGTTGTCGATGCCATACGAGGGCTGTCCGAAGATGTCCGCATACGAAGGAAGCTCCGGCATGCGGTCATACAGCTCGGGGAAGAGCTTCACTTCCCCGCCGTTGGCATTCTGGCCCCACATAAAGGCAAAGCTATCTTCGGGCATGGCGTTGGGTGCCGAGGAACTCTGCTCGTAGGACAACTCTGGCACTTGGTCGACAAGGATTGGCTGTTCTTCGGTGGGTTCTGGCTCCTGGTCATACAACGGATCGGGCATATAGGCTGGCAGTTCGGCGATTGTATCCCCGTCGCAGCGGGGCTTCTTGTTGTAGCGCGGCTCCCGCTTGTAGAGCGTCTCGAGTTCATAGTTTGGTTTCTGTTCGTTGTTTGACTCCTGGTCATAGAATGGCAGCTGACACGGGTTCAAATATTGATCCTGTCCGCAGTGACAGATCGACCCAGGGCCAAAGAATATCTCCTGGTGGCAGCATGCGCCTGGCTTAGAGCATGATCCTGGGACACAGCGAGGCGCTTGATCGCAGTTGGATCCTTGCTTACAGCCATCCTCGACGTTGTAGCTCGACTGTAGATAGCAGAATGAATCCATTTCGATTTCAGACACATCATAAGTCGACTCATGGCACGACTCTACTTTCTCAGAGTTCGCGTCAATGTCATAGGTCAACTCGTCTTCACCGAATGACTGCTCCCTGTCAGTGCATGAATACTGTTCGTCGCAGATGGACACTTGGTCAGAGCTTGCCTCCTGCTCATAGTTTGACTCCTCCTCCAGCAGCTCCAGGTCATAGATTGCCTTCTGATTTGGTTCCTGGGCAAGTGTCGGCTTCTTGAAATAGCTCGGATTCACCTTCTTTGGCTGCGGTTGCGGCTGCGGCTGCGGCTGCGGTTGTGGCTGCGTCTGTTTTGGTTGTTGTTTTTGCTGCTGCCCTGCCTTCTGGCTAGTTTTTGTGGAATTGTTCCAATTTGCCGCTTTGGCATTGGTATTTTTCACATTTGAGCTTTTCGAGCCACTTGCGTTGTTGGTTTTATTGTAGCTATTATTATTATTCTCTTTAGTGTTGTTATTGTTATTGCAGCCGTTGTAGTTGTTGTTGCTCTCTTGAGTCTTCTTGCGCAGCTGGGCCAGAGATGCGGCATTACCACGAGGACGACGACGACGTGGCATGATTGCTGTCTCTTACTTTCTTTTTTGATTGTAGACTGTAAAAATATCCTGGGAGCTGGGATTTTGTATAAACGCACACTTTCTGCCTTTTCGAATTTGTAATTTTTTGTCTTTTTCTTGGTTTGTTTGCACACGTAAACGATTGGAAACTTCAACCTTTTGCTAGCTATTGAAAAATGAAATGACAAGTGCCGGGGTAGACGAATGACTTGCGATTTCAAGGCACACTTGGTGGGGAATGAAAAAAACCTTGTCCTGCCAATCAACACTGGCAAAGAGTGTTGTAAATCGATAACATGGCTTATAAGAGAAAGTTAGAAAGGTAAAAGTAATTAATGAGTGCCGCCATTAATGTTTATTCTTGAATTTTGACAACACTTAAAATAGTGTTGGAACACAACGGTTCTTTCGCTTGTCAAGTCCGTTTTTGACACCTTTTTTCCACATTGCAAAAAAAAGAAAGTAAAGAAAAAAAAACCATGAGTTCCGCCACTAACGTCCAATCTTCTGCTAATTTGGAGCTGCATGATGAAGAAGACCCACTGCGTCCCTACTTTGACCCCACGGATCACGGATTAGATAATTCCTTTCGTCTGACACACTTCGTCGAACTGGAGGCAGGCGGCTTGGGCACTTTGTGGCAGCCGGAAACCGTAGTTCAGGATGAGTTGCCATCGGCTGCGCCCAAACTGGGCATCCCACACGATTGTTCTGTGATTCCTCTGCGAAGAGGCTTTGGCTGGCTGGTGCAGACAACCGGACTTTGCTATCCCATCATCGATGATCCCTATGTGATGGGTAAAATCGCCTGCACCAAGGTGCTAAACAATCTCTATGCCATGGGCGTCAGCGAGTGCGAGAACTTGACGATCCTGCTGGGCGTGAGGAGTGGGTGGACGGAGCAGGAGCGTGATGTGGTGCTGCCCCTAATGGTGCGTGGCTACAAGCGCTGTGTCGCTGAGGCTGGCGCCCGAATAACTGGTATCCGGAGCATAGTCAACCCTTGGTGCATTCTGGGCGGAGTCGCCACGAGCGTTTGCCAGCAGGACGGATTCATTGAGCAGGGAAACGCTATTGCTGGCGACGTCCTGCTGCTCACCAAACCGTTGGGCACACAGCTGGCCCTCGATGCATACCAGAGCATCTGGGATGCGGAATCACGCTCCAAGCGCATAAAGCTAACCATCACGGAGGAGCAGGTGAAGCAGGCCCATCGCCAAGCCATCAACTCGATGAGCCGCCTGAATAGCGTGGCCGCTCGTCTTATGTTCAAGCACAATGCCCACGGGGCCACACACATTGGCGAATTGGGTCTCGTGGGTCATGCCCAGCACCTAGCAAATATGCAAAAGCAAGAGCTAACCTTTTACATTTACAACCTGCCATTGATCGGCCACATGGCAGCATTGGCCAAGGACAATGGCGAGGCCAACGATCGTCAACTGTTGGAGGGTTTGGCCCCCGAACTTTCGGGTGGTTTGCTCATCTGCCTGCCACGGAAGCAAGCTGCTGCCTTCTGCACCGAAATCAAGGAATTGGATGGCCATCCGGCTTGGATCATCGGGATGGTAACGAAGGGCAACAGGACCGTGCGGCTTGTCAAGCGGGCTCAGCACATTGACGTGAAGGATGACTAGGCAGCTTGCACCATAGTAAAGACAGCCAAGAACAACAATAAATGTAGTTTATCAGGATGCTCCCTGGCTTCAAACAAATTGCATGAAGATTCACACTTTGTTAATTAATTGGGTGGTGCGTGCTCCGCGGCGGCTCTCACAGGGAACTTTCGACTTTATGCGTGTCATAAATATTTACAACTTCCTTCTGGCCATAAAAATCTTCAGCAAAGTACCCCCTAAGCCAGGGGAACACCAACAATTTGAAGCAGGCAGCAACGCAAGAACACAAGAACTCTTCACTGCGTCACACAAACTATTTTTTTTCCAACATTTATAGATCCAAAGAATCTAAAAATAATTAAGAACTAATGCTGAAACAGATCGTTGAAGTAGGATGCAGTAGGAATAGGAGAAAGGTGGACTGTTTGCTGATGGGGTAGAGCTGGAAACTTGTTGTTTTCCGGCCATAAATTGATTGGTTTATTAGTTTGAGAGGGTCACAAAAATATTTAATTGATTTATGCAGCGTCGTGTCAGATGTCGGGCCAAAGTCGTAAACTTGATGTCTTGGTACAAAAGGATATAATGAGTGAGACATGAATGGGATTTAGGCAATATAGGAGAGGTGGCCATCAGTGGGGAAGCTTCTCAGGGGATTAACGGCTTGAATGTTAGACCAAAAGATTTCACATAATTTATGGGAATATTGCAGCAATGTTGAGCTGTTTTTTTCACATATAGATATACCCAAGCATAATCAAGATTGCACAAATGAATGATACCAAAATACTCTTTGGAAAGTCACATTTATTTCTAATAATAAAACTGACATTGATTGCTGAAAACTGCAGTATTCATTCATCAAAAAATGCATTTGCTCTGCAAATGAAAAATGACCAAAAATCAAGTAAAATCATTTGAATGCGCTGCCAAAATGATCATCAGTGTAAATGTACACATACAAGTGATTAATTCCAGCTCATTCATTTAAACATTTACTCATTCATTCGTCGATACGTTCTCTCATTCAAATTATACAAAGAGTGCAGCCACACCTAGCCATACCATAATTTGAGGCAGCTGCTGTCTGGAAAATGAGAGCAATTAACTAGGCAAAAGTCAGACAATGAGCAAACTGTGTGGCTAAATTGTTTATCAATGGATCTGGAGTCACAAAAGCACACTCACAGATACGCACACCCATAGATACATTTTATCTGGCTACGTGTGAGGTAAGGCAACAAATTAGAAACAAACAAAAGTCTGTGGATGGGAGGAATTGCAAAAATACACACACAGAAAAGCGCAAAACGGCAAGATCACAATACCACAGATACATTGGGAGGGATCACAGCAGATACACAGGGTAAATACACGGATACACGGATACAGATAGTTGGCTCTGCATTAACTTGTACGATTTACTTACATAACTGCGATAGGAAGACATTGCGTTCGTTTTTTTGGCAAGCGATCGCTGCCGCGATTTGGAGCAATCACAATTCAATCAGATTTTGTTTGGATAGTTTCGGAAATCTGTATAATTTATTTTCGTTTATCTTTTTGCTGGTAATCCAATATGCCGTGCACACACTTGTCTGGCTTGTCTTTCTGCTGTTGTAGAACGCGCGACGAGCGAAGCAAAGATACACTACACTCGAACCACTGACGACAATTACGAAAGCGTATCTGTCGCATGTATGGGGCGGCCGTCGCCTCTCAATTGCAATAGATGCAAAATAAATTAGATACATTTACTGAGATCGCGCGCGTGCGACAAATATTTCTCTCCCTGTCCCTCTCCCGATTCTTGACTCTGTTTTCCTTTTCGGTTTTCTTTGCTTTTGGCCAAACTTTCTTTTCGTTTTATTTATTTTTCTTTTGTGGTTTTTTTTCGCCGCTGTTGGATCACCGAGATTGGGATCTCTGGTGTGTGTGCCACTTTACATAATCCGGCGGCACGCACCGGCCAGGTTGAGATACATGTAGAAAATACTTATGTATAGAGCTGCAGAGCCAGAGAGCTAGCTATATAGAGGAGCTATAAGTGCCTGTAGTGCTCCTCATCGGATCCGATCTATTTGAGAATGCAGCCGGTAAATGCGACACGGGAATCAGATGCTGCGCGGACGACACGTCACGAGGCGTTTTATTTATGCCTTGATATTTTTCTTATTTTCCATCTCCACTTTTTCTCCGCCACCCCAAAAACTTTTCCTTTTATTTCATTTTACTTTGGGAGCACAGGCAGAATTTCAGATTTTATTTATAAATTTAGCAACATTTACACACACACACACACACACACACACACACACACACGCCACGCTACAACTCATTCTCTCACACGATTATATTGTCGCAGAATGCGATTTTCGGTATTTCAGTTTTTCAATTTTCCGATTTTCCCGTTTGCTACGTTTTCGGCCCGAAGCGGAGTGTGTGCGACTCGGCGCGTTGTCAAAGGAAAACTGTCTGCCTGGCCGCTGGGAAAATATATATTTTCTTGCCGAGATTTTTCCCTCGCACTGAACTGCGTGAAAAGCTGAGCAGAGAAAAGTCTCTCGTCTCTCGTCTCTCGTCTCTCGTCTCTCACTCTCTGTCTCTCTCTCGCTCTCGTTGGGTGTGCGTGTAGTATTTTCGGCAGGCAAAGAGATGAGTAGATCGCTGCCTCGTCTCCTGCTTCTCAGTCGATGATCGCTGCGTTTGTAAATTGCAATAGAGAAATAAATAAAACGTTCTAAGAGCACACTGCTGGACGACAGGGTATCATTAGCATTATGATCAGCAGGTTAAGGTTTACTGTGAGGATCTTTCTTTTGTAGAAAAGGATCTTAGCATACACGAAAGGATACAAGAAACATTTCCACAACAAATTCAAGTATAATTTCCATTAATTTTCAGCTCCAGTTAGGCACATTTTATACCAAAATCCACACATCCTTCCTAATTTTACAGTATTTTACTTTATCTGCAAATAAAATCATATCAAAACCGATAGAAACTTCCCCCTTAGAGCATTCACAACATCGGCCAATACCCATTTTCATGTTTTTCCCATTATTTTCCGCATGTATCTATCTGTTCAGCGGATGTATATCTTGCCTTAAATCGGCCAACCCGGCTATATGTACTGATTCCCTCCCCTTCCATTCGTTGTAGGGAAAAATGTGTAAAAATTCTCGTAAAGCTCAAAAGTATTTCGCGATTCTACCAGTATCTAGGCTATGGAACGAACATCATGTTACTCATGGATACAATTTCCCATATTTTCCGCATCTATTATTAGGTAAATAATTGAATTGAAATATATTTTTGTCTTTTGGGTGACTAATCGATGAGTGGGCCGTCCCGCTGTTGTAGGGGAAGATGCACAAAATGTATCCAGCAAGAACGTATCTTAAATGTGTGCTGCAGATGATAATTGTCGCCAGCAGATACAGATGCAGTCTGTCATGTTTCGTTGAATGAATGAAGGAAACCGAAAGGCAGGCCATCACCACTCGACGGAGGGGTTCTATGAACTTGTAAATGAGCTGATGAACTGTCACAAACGGATGATGTTTTGTATTGTGGGGAAGGAACCTGTTGGTCTGTTTCCATTGATACTCCATGGATTCTATAATTGCTAATTCCACATTCATTCAGTTATCTCTTTAGCTCAGGTCATGGCTCCCTAATAGCTGCTGGCATAGATTCCCTTCACACAATTTACCCTATGCCCCTCGATCCGACATTCTGGTTCATTTGTGCATCGCAGACATGTACGCTCCCCATGAAAGAATATATCACAGATATCATACAACGTAGACAACGACACATATTGCACACACCGTACATAAATACATATATGCTGATATTTGTTCTGGTTTTAAAAATAAAAATCTTTGTGCCACTTTTGCAGTTGCCGCTGTTGCCTCTGGCAGTCACCGGAAGCGTGCGGCTAACAAAGATGACGTCTAAACAGAAAATGAAACGGGGAATTCGTGGGTTTTTAGTGAGAATCATTTAAAACTAAATATGCGCAAAATGCGGCAAAACCCATTCAAATGAAAGATAATGCCTTTCCCCCAAACCCTAAGCCCCAATCCCATAAATCAGAATAGGGCGACAAAACTGGGGGGTGGGAACAGACAGGGAAGGGCTACACAGTAATATGTAGCCAAAAAGGCAGAATCAATGGACTAATAGCAGGCCAGCCCCAGGCAAAGTGGCTCTACACTTTGACGAAAGACATGCCAGAAAGAGTGCTGTGGCAGTGGCAGGAGTAGCAGCAGCAGCAGCAACAGCAGGGAGAGAGATGACTGCGGAACGGGGCCCAAGATTTAACCCAATCTGACCGACAGATACAAATAGCTTTCAGCGCTGCATTAAAAAATATAAAAGATACCAACAACAGGCGTGCATTTCGCATGCTTTCCACAAATATTTTCATTTTCCCAGTGCGTGCTGCAGGCGGAGACGCCGCCGCCTCCAACGCAACCCACAAAAACAGCCGAAAACTGAAAACTGAATGCAAACAAATCAAAGAAAGAGAGAAACACAAAGGAGAACAGCATGGATATAACGACTAGAAGATATCCTATACTTGGAAACAAATGTATATAGAAGAAAGCAAATCTCTTGTGAGCCAAATTTCATTTGGGTTTCCTGACTTACCAACTCCGAAATGGACGGCAGCATTCTGCTTGTTACTTGGTTGCACTTCTGCACAATATACCCATTAGGTATTACCTATCAGTGGCAGGGTATGATGAGAAAAACAGAAAACTAGAAATGAATTTTGGGCAGGCAATAAAAAGAAATACACCGACAGCCATAAAAGTCAGACCCCGGCAATCCCCGGGAGCAACAGTCGACAGTGAGGCAGCCAGAAGCCAGCAGCCAGAAGCCAGTGAGGTGCACACACACTGCGGTCGGTCAATCATACTGATGCTCACCAGAGTTCCAATGGGATCCAATGCGATCTCTTCTCCATCTCCATCATCATCGCCATCTCCATCCGCATCCCAGTGCTCCTCAGATCTGGCATGCTCTGCTCTGGTCTCTGCTGTGCGGCTTTCAATCATTTTGTGCGCTTCTCAAATTTGTAATTTATGTCTGGGGCCGTTTGGGGGCGTGCCTCCAGCGACAGATTATGCAATGAAACGATGCAAACGCTAGTTAATAAAACGAATGGAGTGCTGTGCCAGGGGCAGTGGCAAGCATCCTATGGGAAGGAGGAACAAACAGATGCAATTTGTTTGGTGGCACATAAAATCCAACAAACGAAAATTGTTTTGTTGTCCGCAAGGCGGAAGAGATATGGGATGAACTTGGAAGGGGATTTTAAACTCTGTAGTGATTATTTCTTTATATTTTCAGTAAATTCCATGTATCTAAAGTCTTTATAAACAAATATATTGAATCATATGCCAAAATCCAAGAGTAATCCGATTCAACAGGCGGTTTTTTCCCCCATTTGGCACGCGCACGCCATAAAATATTTGCTTGTCGTACATCAAAAAGTATTCCTTGACTGAAACTCTCTGGGGCTGGACTCTTTCTGTGATTTTGCCCTGTCACTGCCAAATAAATACCATAAACCGCCCAAATTGTAGTTAATTATCGTTGCTGTTTTTTTTTTTGTATATTTGTTTTGTTGTAAAACTGTGCTGTGGGAGGTTGCCTGACTATTGCCACATTTTCCACATTTTCCATGGCTCGCGTTCTGTGTGCTAATATATAATTTAAATATTGTATGGCTGCTGTTCTTAACCAGCCTCACTGTGTGTTGCAATCTGCGAGGGCCTTTTGTTTGTTTTTCCGACACAACATTTTTTTTTTGGTTTTATTTTTCGGACAGACCTGAAGCATTTGATCGCTTTTTCAAGGTTGCATTGCATGGAGCTGTTGTTTAGAAGTGTGTGTCTGGGTCTCAAGTATTTTCTTGTGGTTCTATCATGAAAATATTACGTATACGCATTGCGTATGCGCCAGTGCCAGTGGCAGTACGAAAGGGGTGTTTCCTGATGAAAATGCCAAACAAACTGTTCCAAAATATATATTAAATTCATTTGCTTGCAAATCTAAGAATATTTACTACTTTAAAGATTCCTTTTGAGACAAACACCCTCCCAAGACTATGCCACTGCCTCTATCGATCTTAATCGGATGCAGCTTGTTGATTTTTGTAGATATTTTTTTTTATGATAGTACTTGGGAATAGCTTATGTCTAAACGCGCTGAAAGGCACAACTGAAGAGGCGTTCAGTATTATGTTCAAGTGGATTCTAATTCGATTTGGCAAGCACTGACAGTTTTTCCAGTTGATTTGCTTGGAATCTATTACAACATTATGTGTAAACACAGCATTAGAAGCGGCATTTTAATTCTAAACAGTTTTCAAAATCAAATATTGCACAGCTAACCGCCAAACGGAAAAAGCTCTCGATCGAGAAACAGTTGTGAAAACTTTTTGGCAAGTGTTGCCAGCTGAAATCGGTTTTATATATCTATCTATATATAATTTCCACCACAGAGGCAGGCGAAAAATGCGAGGAAAACAAAACGACAAGGCGCAACGCAAAGAACTCGCGAAAATGCGAAAATAAATCGAAAGACGAAGAAGTGAAAATAAATACGCGAAAATTAAGAACAAAATCTTCAGAAGCGGTACAAGTGAGAGTAATTTGAGTGCAGGAAATTAACGCAAAAGAAAATGGTGCTGCTGCTGGTACACCTGCGGCGACTCATCCTTTTGCTGACCGTGGTCCATCTGTGCGGGACGGTGTTCCGGCGCCTTGTCACGGAACGACATCACGCCTACGTCCTGCAGCCCTATGGCATTCAGGGAGTGGGACGCCTGCGAAGTGGCGCCTGGTTCAAGGAGCCGCTCCACGTTCAGTGGTGGGCCTACATCTACACCTGCTACGGCTACTGTGTGCTAGTCAACTACGTCAGCATGCGCCGGCTGACCAACTTGATTGAGTTCTTTTTGAACTGAGACTGTTCTGCATCCAAATGTTATGTGGCCTACGACCAAAAAAAAATTGGTTCCAACAATTGAAATATATTTTTATGTGATTCAGTTGTATTAAAGACCCAATTTTGTTTAATTTAATTTAATTTTATGTTTTCTTTCATTTTACATGTTTTTTACGCAGTTTCTACATGCATTTTACATACATTTTCAAACCAATAGACAGTGCCATCTATATGTGGAAATAAGAAACAGTTAAATATTTCGAGTCGCCATCTAGCGTTCAGTTTTGGCAGCCTCGCCCGTTTTTGTCAGAATGAGAAGTCGGAATATTCGATATTATTTCGCAGATGCTACCCAGTGAGCGCGCATTTCCAAATGTAAATTTTCTCTTTCTTCGACTGCTGCCTGCTGTGGGCCGGTTCTTGGTTGTGGAGTCACTGTCCATCTGTCCGACAGACCTTCTCATAAATATCCCGCTTTTGATGCGCTATCAAAAATGTATCTATAGCTCTGCCACTAACAATTAGTGGTAATAAAATCATTACTTATGTGCCTGATGACTTCCAGCCTTGCACTCTGCATCTTCCGCATTCAAGTTAATGAAATCTCTGACAGCGAATAATTCTGTCAACGGCCCATAACATTTGGTGGGGAAGGGGAATCGACCCGTAAAGGGTGTAGAGGAAATGTGTAGATACAAAAATACAGCCGAAAATATTTAGTTTTTATTTTGAATGCCTATTTATAAGCACCGAAAATCTATTCATATATACAAACCAAGTTTTTCCTCGCCGAAATAACATATCCCGAATCGATCAAAATGGCAGTTTTGTTTACCATATAGAAGATTCATAAAAATTAATATTTATGATTAGATATTGTAGCTTATTTTGTCTTTCCCGCAGGTATAATTCCGATCTAGATCGTTGCTATATAGCGTGGCATATTTCAAGCTTTCTTTCACCCACATGGTCATGGGGGATGCATATACACATATCGTAGCGAGGATGAGTGTACTTCTCATCCGCATGAGTCAGAGAGACAGAAAAAGTGACACGTCACAGCCCCGAGATGTCGATGTTGTATAGTACCAAGAGGTATACTAAATCCTCGATTTGTCAAGCATACATTTTGACTGGCCATTAAATGGCAATTGGCATTATGGGACCAAATCCATGGCAGCGAATGTTTTGTGAATCATCTGTGGGAGTGCTGATTTGAAGTTGTCAACGCCCAAACGACAAATGAGAAAGGAAAATGGCAAAAAACAAAGAAAACCAAAAGGGTGGGGGGAAGAGTTTTCAAGGAACTGAAATGCATTAGAGGCGCGCGCGCCGTTTGTTTGTTTTGAATGCATTAAAAAGTGTATTTTTATCCGGGCATTGGGCATTGGGCATTGGGCATTGGGTTTGGAATTTTGCTGCACCACCCACCGAGTGGGACCCCGCCCCAAGTGGCGCCCACTTGAGCCCGCTATCTGTTATGTGGCACTATCCAGAGAGCGCCTCTTCGCCTCTCAAGAGGCATGCAGAAAGTGGCTGCTGAGCACTTGTCAAATGGGCACACACGCACTTTGTAAAGCAGGAGGAACACCTCGTACAAGCTGAAGTCGTTCTATATATAACTGCATAGCAGGGCATCCTCTCTATAGCTTCTCTATGTGTTTGTGTGTGTGTTTGTGTGCTGTATCTGTGTGATCATAACAATTTTGACCTAATTTTGTGCGCTGGCACACACGAAACATGAAAGAAGCGAACGCTGAGTGATTTCTGTCTTGCCACCAGGCCTCAAGAGGTGGGAATATGCGCGTATTCCTGTCCCTGTCCCATACACCATCACTGACCTCAGTGCATCTGTAAAATGATGGGCAATGGGCCGTTAACCAGCTGGGAATTATAAGCTCGAATGCATTTGCATTGGCCGCAACAGCATCGAATTGGAAAGACAAGAGCGGTAGAGGTAGAGAGAGTGACTTCCTTAAGGGAAATGTAGGTCCACAATCTGATATCAGTTCAAGCAGTTACTTATTCCGATCCCTGATATAATCCAACTCCAATTCAATTGATTTCTGTTTTGTGCAAATTTCAGTCCGAATCCAAATCGAATTTGGCATTTTTTGACAAAAGGTGTCGTTGTCTGGCTTGTGGCTATTTCTGGCGGACTTATTTATCGCCGAATGGCTTGCTACATATTCGCCACGTTATTTTTAAATAATTACACATTCCAAAATGTGCCAAACACACAGAATGTTATTCTGTGCTGAGATGCTCTCTGCCTGGCATACACAGATACTTTTGTGCGTGTTTGTGTGTGGGCATCAAATAAATAAAGTTATGGCCAGGCAGCGCTAAGTATCGGTCGTGTATCTAGAAGATACCAAGCACAAACTGGCCGGACAGGACAGCCACCTTATATATAAGCAATGTTGGCCCATCCTCGAATATATATTGTACATATGTACATATCTATGTACTCAAGTGTGTGCCCAGCCTCAGGTGAAATGTGTGTGGAAAATGAACATGATTATGAGCAAAGAGAGAAAAACCCCACTGAAATAACGTAAAATTCAGTTGCTAAAAATAAGCGAAAAATCATTTTTAAGTATAGCTATGCCTGTGTGTGTTTGTGTGTGGAGCACAGGTGGAGCAGATCGTTCACGACACGAACCATACCGATCCAAAACCGAACTGCTGCTATATTTTTCACTCAGAAAGAAAAAGCTTTGGTTCCTTTGAAAAATTGAGCTAAAAGGAAAAAAAACTCACACTAAACTCGCTCAAAAATGTAACAAAAATTGTTTAATAAACCATGCAGATCTCAATCGCTCTTACAATTTGGGTTTCTTTGTGTATATGCAGTTGGAAAATCTTACCTGGTGCCAAAATTATGTATGTGACCATTGATATAACAATTGTTAGGATGACAGAGCATTGTCTGTGGTGGAGCAGACAATGTTGTCGGCATTGCCAAGGATTCACTCAAGATTTTGAATACTTTTCTCTGTTTTTTCTGCACTTTGCAGCTCTCTAGGCTTCTTTTTTGTTGTTGTTGTGTGTAGCCCACAGAATAACACGTTTCGATGCCAAAAGTCAAGTATTTATAGCCAACATTGCATGTATGTAATTTTAATTCAAATTGGCTGTTAGCGAAAAATGACTTTTGAACACATTTCATAAAAATTATGAAAACTTTTACGATTTCTATGTCATTTGGTTTTGATAAGATGTTGTAATACAATTTGGGCTCTATGATGTGGTATAGATATGTAATAGAAGGATATATAATAGTAGATAGATAGATGGATAGATATGGTTGCGGGTGTACTTGTTTGAAGTGGGAATCTCTAAGATTCGGGTACAGATTTTCAATCAACGCAACTATTCTTGTTCTATCATTAATTAATGTTTATTAAAATCTATCTATTAATTTTCCCAAAGCGTAAATTAAAGTGTTTAACAGCTCAGTTTTTTTTAGACTATCAATATTAAAGAGGCTTCTCGAACACATTTTTCTGTAAAAGTTCCTCAAAGGCAAAATTGCATCAATTTTGAAGGAACTTTGTGCGTGAAGTAAGTCAGAGATTAGCCTACAGCCCAGCCGTCTTATCAAGGGATTACGTGCTGGAATAATGGCATTGCCCAACCCCAAACCCATACATACAGAAAATACATTAAAAAATCAAAACTAAACAGTAAGAAATAAAGCAAGAAAATTAATATAAATTATGAACTTTATGATCCGCAGGCGCTGCCAAAAATTTCAACATGACTTTATGTATATTGTATACGTGCGTGCGAATGCGATGGAAGAGAACATTTATGTGTAGATACATTTTGGCCAGACGCTAGATACACAAAATGAAACGCCTGGCAAGGGGCAGACACAGAAATGACATAGGCTAATTACAGGTAAGCAAAAGAAAAGAAAAACATATGCTTTGAGTTTATTTTCGGTTGGGGGGTAAAACTCTCGGCTGAAAGCTAGCGTGAAAATGCGTTCACACAAGCAGCCGAAGAGCCGAAAGAAAAATCAAAGAATTTTCCACACAAGCGAGCAATTAACACAGCAACACGCCGCATGAAAACTCACTCAAAAAAAAAAACATTGGATGGGAGTCAAATGAGAGAGGGGCGGGCAGGCAGGCAGGCAGGCAGGCAGGCAGGCAGGCAGGCAGGCAGCCGAATTCTATCTCAGAAAGCACACTCAGGAAAGCCGACAGCAGCCGAATGGTGAAAGCATCCGAACATCGTGGATATAGACGAAAAGACTTGCGGACCAGAGACCAAATCAACGAAATACTCTTTATTCGAACGACAACGGGATCTCTTGTTCAGTAGATCACCAGCCTTACTCCGACGTTTATTACGAATTTTTTCGGTGACTCGGTGACAACTACAAAACTGCGTGCGGTGCTGTAGAGATTTTCGCTTGGGAAAATACAAAAGTTTTATTTATATATTTATATTTTGAAAATCGCGAACAAACGCGTAACGATTGAATTAATTTAGAGGACCCCAGGATACCAGGAAAATCTGACATAGCAGAATGTCGTCATCGCAGGCTGTACGCACTTCGAAATACTCCTACCGGGCCACATCGACCGGACCCGGTGGTGCCGATGTCAACATCGAATACATCCAGGACTTGAGCTCGCTCTCCCGCTTGGAGGTAAGAGACTACCATCAGCGGACAGTCCGGCTCAGGCCATCATCTCTAACCCCACGAAAATCAAACGAATCTCGACGACTTAAAAAACGAAAGAATAACCGAAATGCGTGTGCGCCAAATCTTGTTCAAATAAAAACCCAAGAGAACTTTTCTCTCTCTTTCTCACTCTTTCTCTCTCGAAGAAAATAATCAAGCAAAACGAAAAACAAACTAAGAAAACCCGAAAAAAATTCATCTACACTCTATATCAAATACACAGCAGTATTATATACCACAGACAGCTGTACATATATGAATGTCTATGTATATATCTGCACATATATCTCTGGCTCTATGTGTGTGTTAAATTCTCGCCGCGTTTTTGTGTGTGGAAATATAGAAATCCGTGTAGAAAGCAAAAATTCTAGATGTCTATATGTATCCCATATGTACCCGTACATAAATACATACATATGTATGTATATGCATTGCTAAAAATTATGTAATGACCGAGACCACCGAGAGATATATCGAAAACACATCGAAGAAAAATGTGTGATTTATATTCATCAGCCTGTGTGTTTAAGTGCTAAAAAAAAAAACAAGAACGAAAAATAGTTTTGAAAACCGATAATTGAAATTAAAGATCACTGATCTGAATATTTATTCATAATTTTCTTGCAGGACAAGATCCGTTTGCTCCAAGATGATCTTGAAGTTGAACGTGAGTTGCGTCAAAGGGTGAGTAATGCCACTGAGCATGGTTTTTCTATACCTTAATACATGCATACATATATTAGAACTATTTTTGGTGTTTTATCTGTTGTATGGGAGAAGTTTTTAGTCATCGTTTGTTCTGGAAAATATTTTGTATAATTTATGGTTTTTTTTTAAGGCATTTTCTTGCTGGTTTTTATGGAGAGGAGCTTTTTAGTCGTGGATTGTTTTGGGAATAATGCTATCGGTTATCATTATTCATATTTAGTTCTGGAAATATTATTTGGTATTGAATAAAGATAAAGGATAAACCTGAATCCTCTGTATACCTGTAAAATAGTTATATACGAAAGTTACTTTATTCAATAAACTTCTGTTTGAAATAGAGATATATATGAAAACCTTTCTGCTATAGATAGATACGAAACTAAATAAAACTTTTAATATATTAAAACTGAGAAATACGGCAGATCCCCTGAACTTGGCTTATACTGGAGATAAACCTGATTGAAGGCGACTTTTCACAGGCCACAAAAAATGTCCACCTGCTTAATGGGTTTGCAAAAAACATTCTCCGAATCGCAAGCGAAATGAAAGCGCCAGGCCAAGACAATTTTTGTCCCTTTTGGTCGCTACTCGCAAATGTCACCCTAAAAACAGCAAAAATATGTGGAAAAAGCCAAAACAAAAATAAAATCAAAATAGACAAATCGAAAAAAAGATAAAAAGTAAAAGATGCTAGAAAAAGCGGATAGAAAACGCAGCAAACAAATGCAGCAAAGCAACAAATTGTTGCATTTAGAGAGGAATCTAAGAATACCCCAGCAACCCCATAGGAGAGGAGAGTGAGTTCTTTCTGAGCGAGAAAGTAAATGATAATGATGTGCATTGAACTTCAATAGCTTTCGGGGCGGAGCAGTGATAAATGATTTTGCATTTGAATCTGTATTTGCATTTATCTTTGCAAACACAAAGTGGCAGAAGTGAAGAAGCCGATAGAAAAGTGGGAAATTCGCATGCGGAAAAGTGCACTTCATTCCGACCGGCCTAGCCTGGCACCCAGACTCTTTTAAGTTGTTCAGTGTTCGGGTTCTGTTCCTGTTTGCCATTACAAATTTAGAAAATGCGGCCTGGTCTGGGGAGCTTCTGCTGCTGTTGCTGCCACGCTGGCGCATGGGTTGGAAAGGAATTCGCTTCATATTTTTTGTTACTTTAATTACTTTTGCTTTATGGATTAGAGAGCGGCGCGCATACAGGGGCATCTTCACACCCGCATCTCATCCATATATCGAGTATCTGTAGAAACACTCTCAAACACGCGCACACACTCACTCGCACTCATAATATGGAACAAAATGGCTAAAATTAGCGCACGACATTCAATACAGAGAAGCAAATGATTAACTTGAAGACCTGAGAAGAAAAGCAAAAGAAACAGCAAAAATATGAACAGCCGAAAACTTGTAGATCGTAGAGAACAAAATGAAAGAAAGAAAGAAAGGAAAATAAAGTGGTCGAAAAGCCATCATCATCATCATCGTCCGAATCATAGAGAGGAATTTTCGCGCTCGTATCTGAAAGATCTGTGGCTATCTGTGTAGCTGTATCTGCATCTGTATCTGTATCTGTATCTGTTTGCTGTGCTTGTGGGAAAATTAAATAATTTTCTTGCACATTAAAAGTTTTCACACCGCCTCGCATATATTTGTTCGAAGACTCATGATTCGTATCTGTAGATATACAGATACATATGCACATGGTCGTCAAAGGCATAGGCAAAGCCAAAAACATGTATATACAAGATACATATGGCGCAAATGGAATTACGGCTCTCGTACTTACGTGGCCTATCTATCAGAAACTATGTTGTGTATAGGTCTTATCATAAACAGATTGTTTCAGCAAGAGAGAGAGAGAGAGAGATTAAATCCCGCTTCGGGGGGTGTTCGAATATCCTAATTTTGTAGAAAAATGTAGCGAAAATCTGCCATATATACACAGACTCTGCCTAATCAATTCCTAGCTTCCATGTCTGCCAACTGACAGCTCCAAATACCAAAAGGCCTCCTCATAAAATACCATTTAATTACGATTCGCAAGAAAATTCCCAAATGAGGTCGACCAAAAGGCGAAATGCAAATATTTCGATAGCTATAGCAGAGAGGCAGGCTGAGAGATAGAAAAATGTTTCTGTTCAACCGAAAAACTCTTCGAATGCCTTTTTGGAAATGCAATATAGATATGTATATATAGGCACACCAAAAGGCATCTCCTCCTGCTCCTCCTACACCCACAATAGATATAAATGTATGTAGAAGCGCATCGGAGATGCATACACCTACCTCTATGGGTATGATATGAAGACTTCTTGGCACGTTGCCATTGTTATTTTAGGTGTTGCATGTGCATAATTATTTTTGACTGATTAATGTGATTTATAATTTTTATTATGGCCCGTTGGAAATTGCCATAGAGCATAGAGCGAATATCTATCTATAAATAGGACATTTTCTAAGCTATGATATATCTATGTCCATGTCAAATGTCTAATGCAAAAATGTCTCTCTCTTTTTTCGTATGTTAATCAGATCGAGCGCGAGAAAGCCGATCTCAGCGTGCAGGTCATACAGATGTCCGAGCGTCTCGAGGAGGCCGAAGGTGGTGCTGAACATCAAGTAAGTTTCTCATAATAAATATACCATCTACCCATGAGACTGATTTTTCTTTGTTTCGTGCAGTTTGAAGCCAACCGCAAGCGTGATGCTGAGCTTCTGAAGCTCCGTAAGCTGCTTGAGGATGTTCATCTTGAATCCGAGGAGACCACCATTCTCTTGAAGAAAAAGCACAACGAAATTATTACGGATTTCCAGGAACAGGTTGAAATCCTAACGAAAAACAAGGCTAGGTGGGCAATATCACATCTAATACTCACTCGTAAATCATTCACAGATCCTAAACATGACCTAGAAAATGAAACCAAAAACAAAAGAAAAACATAAACATCCCCCAACCCCAACCCCAACCCCAACCCCAACCCCAGCCCCAAGCTACCATCATCATGATCATCTTGGCCATTTCCATATTTATTGTTGTTGTTTTCATATGAATGATGTTGATCAAGTGGCGTCAGCTGGCATTTCTCGGACATTTCAATGTCTCTCCCGATCTCGTGCAGTAACACAACAATACACGGGCTTTGCACTAACCTTGCGCTGCCCCGCTGCCCCGCTGCCCTGCTGACCCAAAAAGAAACCTCCACCCCACGAAGAGCGAGCCCCAGATCATAAACAATTCATCAAAATGCCATGACACGCGAAATGGGTGGGACGGAGGGGCCACATAGCCAACATAAAATAAAGCAAACAAATAGCAAAGAAGAGTTGCATCGCTTGCAAGTTCTATTGACACAAATTCATACATAAATATGTACATGTGGATCGGATCCATACATCCATACATACATATACTATATAGACAGAGATTCGAGAAACTTTCGGTCCGCTCTCATATTTCCAAATCGAAGCGATTTCCAAAAATAAATATTGCCTCGACCATTTCGAAATCATTTTGCAATTCAAGGCTAGCAAAAGGTAGATACCACCGGGCACATTGTAGTTCTGATCATGGGTTTTGGATGCTCGCCTTTGCTCGATCGTAAAAAATCAGTTTGGACTTGGAACCCCTAAGGTTTACCTACTGAGTACCCAATGATAATCCATTAGCCGGCCTGCAACTTGCTGCAGAGATCGATCCGTAAAGGTGCGCCACGAGTTTGCGCACGGCAAAGCTTTTGTTGTTGAAAGCTTCTTTATTTTTGTTGTTGTTGAAAACTTTTGCAACCATATGTTGCCCACACCAAGACACCAACACGCCACAGTGGGGCTGCTTCTGCTGGGGATAATATTTGTATTTCTTCTGTTTTTTTTTTGTTTTTTGTTAAGGAATTTATTTATAGAAATTTTGAAATTTTCATCTAAATTCTTTAGCAGAGCAGAGAGGTTGGTTGCTCTCGTTCTCGTTCTCGCTCTCTCTCTCTCTCTGTCTCGTTTGCACCAACGCCCCAACCCAAATATGTCTTTGATTGAATCATACTACAATATAGAGGGGAGCAAATGTGTGTTGATTGTTTCTTGTTGTTGTCTCTTTCCGTCCAATTGAGTATTATGGAAATTCGATACGTTTTGTGGCTTTTCAGCTTTTCAGTGGGTGTGAGGCATATGCTACAATGGCCTGCGGCACCCAATGGCAAGTGGGGAAAAGTGGGGAAAATGTATTTGACTTATACAAAGTACTACGAAAAATACATGTGTAATGATTTCAGGGCATAAGGACAAATAAACAGACGCACAGACAGAAACAAACATGATCTTAACCTTTAGCCTGGTTGAAGCTTTCGCATATCGTTCCGTTTTGGTTGGACTTTCGGACAGAGAGAAATGAAAGCTGCATCTGATCCGAGAGAACAAACGATAACGATATGGGAAAGCTTGCCGTATGCTGCGCTTTCTCCATCCAAGCCAAGTCAAATCAAGCCTTCGCCTTCGCCTGCGCCGCGCTATATCACAGCTTGGCCAAATCCTAAGTATCCATGCAGCTTCGAGCCAAAGAACAATCATTAAACTGGAGATCTGTTTGCTTGCAGAGCCGAGAAGGACAAGTCCAAATTCCAGGCCGAAGTCTACGAGCTGCTCTCGCAAATCGAGGTCTACAACAAGGAGAAGATTGTGTCGGAGAAGCACATCTCCAAGCTGGAGATCTCCATTACGGAGCTGAATGTGAAGATCGAGGAGCTGAACCGCACCGTGATCGATATCACATCGCACAAATCTCGCCTCTCGCAGGAGAACATTGAGCTGATCAAGGACGTCCAAGATCTCAAAGTGCAGCTCGACACTGTCTCGTTTTCCAAGAGCCAGGTCATCTCCCAGCTGGAGGATGCTCGCCGTCGCTTGGAAGACGAGGACCGTCGTCGCTCCATGCTCGAATCTTCTCTGCATCAGGTTGAGATCGAATTGGACTCGATTCGCAGTCAACTCGAGGAAGAGTCAGAGGCGCGCATTGACTTGGAACGTCAGTTGGTCAAGGCCAATGCTGATGCCACTTCGTGGCAAAACAAGTGGAATGCCGAAGTGGCAGCCCGCGCTGAGGAGGTCGAAGAGATTCGTCGCAAGTACCAGGTGCGCATCACCGAGCTGGAGGAGCACATCGAGTCCCTCATCGTCAAGGTCAACAACTTGGAGAAGACCAAGACCCGTCTGGCCAGCGAAGTGGAGGTTCTCATCATCGATCTGGAGAAGTCCAACAACAGCTGCCGGGAGCTCACCAAGGCCGTCAACACCCTGGAGAAGCACAACGTTGAGCTGAAGAGCCGCCTCGATGAGACCATCGTTCTGTTCGAGACCAGCCAGCGCGATCTGAAGAACAAGCAGATCGATCTGGTTCGCACCGTGCACGAGCTGGACAAGGTCAAGGACAACAACAACCAGTTGGTCCGCGAGAACAAGAAGTTGGGCGGTAAGTACTTATCAAAATTATCCTCCTTACCACTCGATTGCTTATTAATCTGTTTTTGTATTCTTAAAGATGATCTGCATGACGCCAAGGGCGCCATCAACGAACTGAACCGTCGCCTCCACGAGCTGGAGCTGGAGCTGCGTCGTCTGGAGAACGAGCGCGATGAGCTGACCGCTGCCTACAAGGAAGCCGAGGCTGTAAGTGGACCTACCAAAAACATAACAAGGCAGACACTAAACTGTTTTTTCTCTATACTTATATAGGGCCGCAAGGCTGAGGAGCAGCGTGGTCAGCGTTTGGCCGCCGACTTCAACCAGTACCGTCACGACGCCGAGCGTCGTCTGGCTGAGAAGGATGAGGAGGTTGAGGCCATTCGGTAAGTGACTTATCCTCTTATCAATCTTGTATTCTATCCACTTGGAAAGTGCCCAGCCCCCCAAAATGCGCACGCCTCTGGCTTCCTGTCTCAAAGCGACAGTGACAACTGTCGAAGGTCAATCACTTGTTCGCAGTTTCCCCTGCCAAAGCGGAAGCCCACACAGTCCCCCAAGGCGGGGGAAATCAATCGATTGTTTTGCAATCGCTGCCAATAGCCAACAACAGATTTGATATCAAATTGACCCATTTAGCGATCAGTTCGAGTTCTATAGTCGCGCACAAAGCAACGGCATTAGTTTTCTAGGCAAAGCGCGGAGCAAGGCACGATTCGATCCTGCCACAACACACACACAGGCTCAGTACTAAGAAGTGGGTTTAATTCTCTCAGCTCAGATAATAGCAGAAATTGTATTATCTATGAAATTTATCTCCCCAATCCAATAGAAAATTGCGCAGTTGCTGCCACGAGTATTACACAATCGTTTTTTGGTTGCTAATCGAAAGATCTCGTTTGTGAGATCATTTTTGGTATAAGTAGAAGTTGTAAAGTTTGGATGAGCTCCAGCAACAGGTACGTTGAGATGTGAATTGGTTTCCCATTGGTGGCGGCAAGTGGCTTGGCTGTGATAAAACAATTTTGGCTTGAGCGCACTCAGACAGAGAGATATTGAAGTGCATTTTAAGTGGCAATTTATCTCTAGTAAAATCTACTGATGTTCTGTGGAAATAACTGCAAAGAATGAACACATTTTGTGTGTGTTTCCAAAGTTCTAGACTGCAAGTGTTAAGTACCTTTTTCTTAACTGTTTCCGCCATTTAAGATGCAAATTTCTTTGCCTATCACAAGTCTCAAGCCTGATAATATTGCCTCTGCAGATATTGCTATTATTTCTGAGTTGCTATTATGACATTGTCTGTGAGAGCTCTGCCAAAATGAATCAATCATAGCCAAGGAATGGTGCTCGCACCAGCCACACATGAAGATAATGATGATGATGATGATGTTATAGTACGTGTTGTTGTCGTCATTTTGCTCTCATACCTTTGGTCGATGCCAACAGCTGAACACCCGAAATGCAATCTTTTTATAGATTTCGACAAATTTGAAAATTGTATTTGCAAAAGCGACACAGAAACTGCTGCCAAAACGAAGAGGGAGCGACACCAAGAAGACAGGCGACCACAAAGCGACAGAGCAACATCCGAGCAACATTTGTAGCTTTAATTAGAGTACTCTAAGCACACACTCTCTCATACCCTCTCTCATATCCCCTATACCGTCTGCCCCCCCGTCTGAAATTATGTCGCTCGCTTTGCAACAGCGTCCCTCGCGCCTTAGGCACACGAACACCTATGAGGATAACTATGGGTACACGATGAACTTCTACCAGCCAATGCTGGATTATCTGGATGCAAAGGCCAAGGGTCTGAAGGTGGTGCAGCCCCACTTGCCGTGGGTGAGCGAGCGGGGACTGCAGCAGTACCGCGCCTCGAACACGGTGCGAAAGTATACATCCGATGAGATTTTACGCCTGTCGCGCACCTGCGCGGCCCGTGCCGATGAGATTTTGCTCAGTTTTCGGTCCAAGAAACGGACGCCGTTCAGTTTGCAGAAGCTTGTCGACGCGTCGCGTGTGGCCAAGCACATTGAACCGGACACAGTTGTTGAGAGATCGCGCCAGCGCCGTCGTCAGCGCCAGGAAGATCTCGAGGATCTGATTAAACGCGATACCTTAAAAATATTGCAGCGCATTCGCAAGATCGAGATAGATAACGAAGTTGATCAAATGTCGGACGATTTCAAGCGATCGATACGCGGCAAGTCCGCCAGCGCCATTGCCCAGGCGCTGCTCTCCGAATCGGAGCGAAACATCAAGACGGCCAAAAAGGAGGAGGAGGACTACATGTCCCAAACTTTGGTTCGTTCGAGTCGCGCCATTTCGCGCGCTCGTTCCGGCTCCCCCGTCGATGGCCAGCTGCGGGCCCATGCCCTTCACATCGAGCTGATGGACGATCGCCTGGTCGACAAGCTCGACCATCGCGTCTCCTCCTCGCTCCACAATGTGAAGCGTCAGCTCTCTACGCTCAATCAGCGGACCGTCGAGTTCTACGCGGATAGCAGGTGCGGTATAGAGGATAAGTGTTGGATCTGTCGCAAGGTCGCTCGCACACATCCAAAGCTCAAGGATTATAGCTATATATACTGGAAGCACTAATCATTAGATAGTTCCGCCCAGAAGATAGGTTTTTTCTTTGCCTTTCCAATCCCCAGTCTATCCCATCATCATTCCCCACAGCCACACACGAAACGATTAATTCTGTCGTTTTCAATTAAATTCTAGCCCCCAGACAATTTGAATAAATGCGAACATTTTTGAATTGTAGATTAATTTTTGTGCTCATCGCAGAGATAGCGCTCGTATCCCCCTACCCATCCTACACATCTCTCTATTTGTCTGGTCTGCACACAATTATTTTCGTTTCTCAAGTTTTCTTTGCACCTCGATTCCCCATTATAATGTACTTTCTTACCCATTGCATCGCATTGTGTCTGTTGTTTTGAGTATTGTGTGAATTATTTCTGTAAAATTATGCTCAACATTTATATCCCCATGGCTAATTGCCGAGGAATGCCAAGGGTTTTATTTATTACGAAATTCATTATGATATATAGGAAATGAAAGCGATCTTGGATCTAAGAGTCAAAGTCAGTTCTAAGGAGTCAAAATATGGGATTTGGGAAATCAGTGATAATTTTAAAGATTTTTTTTGATCAATCCACCAAAACATAAACTTTCATTTGTAGTTTTTTAGGTCTCAAAGCTATGGTTAGATTACATTTTTAATTAGATTACAGTTTTTATCTACTGATGATACAAAATCCTATTTCCAAGCCCATTTAATTTTTTCCCCTATACAAATTCAATGAAAAACCCATGCGATCTAACATCTCACCGTTTGCAATGATCATGTTTCGCACCCACAACCTCAGGTATGCCACATATGCCAAATTCCACAGCCGTCTGACAGGGTTTCGTCTTGTATGCGCGTAGATTGTGGCCCCGACAAACTATTGTTTGTGGTCTGTCCTTCAAAAATTCGAGAAATTATTTTCATTTTGAAAGCAACGAAAATGTTGGGCGCATGACAGCAACAAAATAGAAAAGAAAATGCGAAGGAAAATTAGCATAAAATCAAAGCAAGCAAATATTTTTGCGTAGGCAAATAAACATTGAAGACAATGGCAGGGGAAAAATTGAAATCTAAATGCAAAATACTCACAAAAACACACAGACACTAAATACCTTGGCAAGGCGACAGCAATGGGCACACAGAAGATTAAGATTAAGTAACCAGAAGACTGTGAGGTTCACAACGGACCATAGGAGAGAGCCATTGCCAGAGCAATGAAAAGATTATCCAAATGATGGATCTCTGACAGTTGAGAGTGGCAGTGTGGGCGTAGGCATCACAGACTTAAAACTGGCAGTGGCATATGTGGGGTTTGGGAAGAGATTTTTAATTCAATTTTTATCAGGAAAAGTTCTAATACCGCACAATAAGAGACTGATCATAAAAATGTCTTGTAAATGGAGGCAAATCTGGCCAAAATCCTGTGGGAAAATCGGGTCAAAATCCTGTGGGAAATTATGGCGCACAAAATAAAATGTATAACAGATAAAGTTAGATGAAAGTAAGTATCAGCTTTATGGTATAACAATATCTATGTACTGCGGAATAAATCGATCATCTTTTGACCTGGGATGCAGATAGTTCATATCTTTAGTTCTACCCTCATGATTCAATTGGTAAAACAGAAATACAAACATTACTCAAAATTGAGTTGGCAACATCTTAAAGTCTTTAGCATCTACCTAACGCCTAAAAATAGACGCATGATGCACCACAAAAAAAAAAGGAACTACTTAGAAAATAGTTTGGCATGTAAACCCAAAGTATTTGTGACAAGTTCGATGTCTTTATCAAGCGTAAAAATAATCGCAAACTCTTTGCAATGAAAATCGCCCATGCAGCAGCAAAAAGCTAAAACAATGAAACAATTTTGACAATGCCAGAGAACCTGAGTGGTTTCAGAGTGCTTGTAATGCTGAGTGTTGGGGAAAATGCATTTTGTGGGTCAGAGCATTGGGGCCAAAAATAAAGCAAGCAAATGTAAGCGAGTAAGCGAAACACCGGAGAGAGAAAGCGAAAGAGGCGTCATTGAGGCACGAGGTAAAGCGCATTTTGGGGGCAGCAGAAACTTTCCAAATTGATTGACTTCGATTCCAAAACTGTTTTGAATGTTTCATTTAACACTTTGGGTAATTCCTATAGCAAGCAGACCTCGATCGAGATCGAGCAGCTCAGTGCCCGCGTGGTTGAGGCTGAGACTCGTCTGAAGACCGAGGTGATTCGCATCAAGAAGAAGCTGCAGATCCAGATCACCGAGCTGGAGATGTCCCTGGATGTGGCCAACAAGACCAACATCGATCTCCAGAAGGTGATCAAGAAGCAGTCGCTGCAGCTGACCGAGCTCCAGGCCCACTACGAGGATGTGCAGCGCCAGCTGCAGGCCACCCTTGACCAGTACGGCATCGCCCAGCGTCGTCTGGCCGGTCTCAATGGTGAGCTGGAGGAGGCCCGCTCCCACTTGGACAGCGCCAACCGCGCCAAGCGCACCGTGGAGCTGCAGTACGAGGAGGCCAGCACTCGCATCAACGAGCTGAGCACTGCCAATGTCAACCTGGTCTCGATCAAGTCCAGGCTGGAGCAGGAGCTGACCGTGGTTGCTTCCGACTACGAGGAGGTGTCCAAGGAGCTGCGCATCAGCGACGAGCGTTACCAGAAGATCCAGGTTGAGCTGAAGCACGTTGTCGAGCAGGTGCATGAGGAGCAGGAGCGCATTGTCAAGCTTGAGACCATCAAGAAGTCTTTGGAAGTCGAAGTCAAGGTGAGCATTTGCTTTGTGATTATCCAACTGTCCATCCCTTATGTGTTTTTTTTGTATTTAATCCCCATAGAACTTGTCCATTCGTCTGGAAGAGGTTGAGCTGAATGCCGTTGCCGGCAGCAAGCGCATCATCAGCAAACTGGAGGCTCGCATTCGCGATCTGGAGCTGGAGCTGGAAGAGGAGAAGCGTCGCCATGCCGAGACCATCAAGATTCTGCGCAAGAAGGAGCGCACCGTCAAGGAGGTTATTGTGCAGTGCGAGGAGGACCAGAAGAACATCATTCTGCTGCAGGATGCCCTCGACAAGACCACTGCCAAGATCAACATCTACAGGCGCCAGCTTTCCGAGCAGGAGGGCGTCTCCCAGCAGACCACCACCCGTGTGCGCCGTTTCCAGCGCGAACTGGAGGCCGCCGAGGATCGTGCCGACTGTGCCGAGTCCAACTTGAATCTGATCCGCGCCAAGCACCGCACATTCGTCACCACCTCCACCGTGCCCGGCTCCCAGGTGTACATCCAGGAGACAACAAGAACGATCACCGAATAGATCATCGATCCCACACCCGCACTAACACCAAAAAGCAGAGAGATCATTTTTTAATTTACTCAAAACTCAATCAATCAGAGAGGAAGATCAATGAGATTTCAGGTGCGAGATTGGAGCAGAGAAATTTTGCGTGAGAAAGTTTTTTTATAATTTAAATTTTTTGCCATCCCCTCGCCGAAGAAAGCGAACAAGATCCCCCAAGCGGCAACGGCGTGGGCCATTCGTATAGGTTATACACTATAAATACAATAACACTACACATCCTATCTATATAATAATAATACTATTTTGAAGTTCATGTAATTTAATTAAAATAATGAACCTGGAAAACCCAAAAACCAAATAAAAAACCAAAATCAACGAAAACTTTGGCACAGTTTTTGCAAAAGAGAGATCTAGCATTAGCGATAGAGAGAGAGAGAGAGAGAAACAGAGAAGAGAGTTGTTGTTGGCTTTCAAATATAAATATCAAACAATATCAATCATGATATATGGCGATGAAAATGTAGAGATGGAGAATGGAAAACCATTTAGCAAGCAGCAAACGCGCAACGAGTTACGTTACCCGAGTTACAACCGCTTCTACTATTTGTTTTTAGTTCACTTTATGTTTAGTAGGTAAATTTTCTGTGTGCTCGCAACCAACCCATTTTCAATTTTACAAAACCAAGCAAATTTCACATTTTTTACTTTGTATCTTGCAATAAAACGAAATTTTTATTCATAATAATAACAAATAATAAACTCTACCAACAACTGATCAATTTTACTAAAGCCAGAAAGGGAAAAAGAAGGGAATTACTTCATTCCACGTCATGGGGCTGGGAATGATTCCATCTTTGGTCAGAGAAATATACAGAAATATATGAATAGATAAAGCAAGAAGAATTAGAAGTCAAACATCGAATAAATTATTATTTGAAAGGGCATAAATAATCCTTCAGGCTGTTAAAGGGCTAAACCTGAAGGAGCGTCTCTGAAACCTTAACGTTTGGTTCGTTTCCCTTGAAAGAATCCTGCAAGCAGTTCATGGACTAAAGCCGGAAGCCTTGCTTCTAACATAGCAGCAGGTATAGCAGAGCAACAGCGCTGTTAACACTCGAGGTTGAGTAAGCCTGTTACTGCACTCCTTTAGCAGCTTGTAACCGCACTCCCTTAACAGCCTGCTCCCTGCTTACAGCTGTTAGCACTATAACTTATCAAGCAGTTCTCCACTAAGGAAGGAAGGAATGCTCTTGTAAGGAATTCAACCACTAAACCTGAAGCTTTGGTCCAAGCAGTGCGTCGCTGAAACCTGAACGTTTGGTTCCTACAAGCAGTTCATCTCAAAAGCAAGTGAATGAAAATATAAACTTTTAAATTAAAAGCTCCGATTCGTATTAAGCAAATTACTGGAGTTGTCTAGTGCTGTGATTCTGTTGGAAATAGCATGAAGAACTAAAGGGCAGAATTCTACCCTGCATGCAATGCATGCAAATATGTGCCAAAGTCAAAGAGAAAAACATTTTCATTTTATGCTATCACTATTTATTAACACTTTCGATCTATTTGCATGGAATATGATCTTCAGTTCAGTGCTGCGACAGCCACCTTGGCGCCAGTGTTGAGCGTCACGCTCTTACCGCCATAAGCTCCACCATAGGGGCTCTTCTTGAAAACTGCAATCGAGAGAACAGAGTGACATTAGCATTCAGCAGAGAAAACAATTTCTTTAGAGGAAACCCACCTGGATCGATTTCAGCCACGAAGGAGCGTGGTGGCAGGGCAGCGGCATAGAGATTGTCCAGGGGACCATAAGGCTTGGCCAGCAGAGGCCTGCCCTGCTCCCAGCCATAACGGTTGAGGGCATACCAATCGGCACCGTCCAATTTCGCGGCAGAGGCGGCAGCACCAGCGGCATTGGTTAGGGCAGCGGCCTGGGCTTCGGCCGTTTCGGATGCGCGGACCACATCCACGTAGCGATCGGAGCCGGAGGAGCGGTAGCTGGGCCTGTGGGCCACAATGGCGGAGATGTAGCAGGCCAGGAGCAGGCAGAGGAGACGCATGTTGTTGGCGGACATGTTTTAATGGTGCGAGGAAGCGACTGTTTCGGACACTAATTAGCCACAGCGAGTGTCCAAATTGCTTTTATAGCAATACCATTTGAGTTTGCCAGCGATTCGTGTGCTGCCCAGACGTGACCAAACCCCAGTCGATGCCCACTGCCGCGGGGCAGGTCATGACGAAACTGCAGCACTTTCGGGGTGGCCGACAGCTCCGCAGAGGCAGCATCTCCAACCCCCCCTCCAGCCTGATAAGGCCCGGAGACTCCACAGCCAGCGTCTCCAATTTCTATGCTCATCGAAATTGCGCGCCAAATTGTGGCAGAGACAGAGACGGAGCCAGAACCACGACTACCACAACCCCGGGAAGAGAAGCTGGCCGCCCCATTGATAGCAACTTCCCCCGGCTTGGCACGCTCTGTTCGCTTTTGGTGTGTGCGGTATCGGGTCTTTGCCACTGGTCTGTCCGTACTTGTACGCATTGTGCATCACTATGGGTTGGCTGTGCTGCCGCTGCTGCTGGATCAATGAACGGGCGAACGAATGAATCCCCGGTGTCTAATTTCAGCCGATAAACCTGCCCTGGAATGCATAGTTAGTAGTGGCTGAAAGAGACTTATTTTCATCTCTAGATAGGCTGCTTCCGATTCTCAGGAATTTCTATTCCTATTGTTTGGCCTCTCAGCTTCAGGTTTATCACGAAAGCTTTCCATAGCTCGAACACAGCTACAGTAGTGACAGAACCCAACGTTTGAATGCGACACTTTTGTCAAATAAAATTCCCATTTATTTTTATAGTTTTCAACATGCGTTCTTTTTCCACGGTAAAGTCCAAGAATTCTCTGGGTGATTCATCAAGCGACTCGAATGTCAAGCGAAGGTGGCTCAAGCATTGGGCCAGCAGCTTCAACGTAAACAAGTCAGCAAAAGACTTTGCTTACCGGCCAGAAAAATATTTCACAAAAATCAGCAAACATTCAATCGTTCTTGGAAGAAACTTTTGCTTGGAAAGAAATGGGTGTAAAATATTCCAGAAACTGGGAAACAAATGCTGAAGTGTGGAAATTTGTAAAGTTTGACTGTTCCAGTTAGATTATGGAACTCTTTTGCAGTGCGGAAAAAAATGTAAACAAATTTTACAGCACGTTCTCGGACTGAAAGCCACTCAAAGACATTCCCACCCAAAAGTTGCAATCAAATTTCTAGTGCCACAGCTGCAAGCAGCTGCATAAAGACCGAAATTCTGGTTCGATCCGACCCAAGTCGGAAGCAGATATCGGTATACTTCCCGTACGCCCGAAACTATACCATAAAACTATTGGGAATTATGTTTTGTTTTTGTATTTTTTATTCGCGCTGCACGGGAGCGAATCCACACTGAGAAGGGGGACTGAGGAGGTGGAGAGTATCCATCTAGTATCTGGGACCCTCGACGTTGTAGCTCTGCTGGGGAGCGTAGCTGCCGTAGTTCTGCTGGCTGCCATAGCGGTTCTCGGGAATGTAGAGCTTGGCCACGGGCTCAGCTGGACGGATGGGCAGCACCACCTTGGTGTACTCCGGAGGCGAGACATAGGCGCGGTAGTTGTTCTGGCCTGGGTACAGGAGAGTGGCGCCAGCTGGCTGCACAGTCCAGCGTGGTCCATAGCCACTGCGACGTCCGTAGCTGCCGTGCTGGGGCACACGCTGCGAGTGTCCGCCATAACCGAGCTGAATGGGGCGCAGGATCTCTTGGCCATGGCCATAACCACCTCGGGGTCCACCGGCAATGATCTCTACGGGACGCTGGTTGCCTGCGGCAGCAGCAGAGCTGGCAGCCGAAGCGGCACCACCGTTGGAGCGCTGTCCATAGCTTCCCTGTTGCACGTAGCCTCCATGGCCGCCACCGCCATAGCCTCCATGGCAGTTGCCGATGAGGCAAGCGCAGAAGAGAACCGCAAGAGTCTGTCAAGAAAGATGATGGGTTAGCCACAGGACTGGTTTTGGATTGTTTATTCCCGGAAAGCGAAACGGGAACGGGAAGTCAACGTTTACTTACAGCGAAAGTGTTCATGGCTATATAATGTTTTGTGTGTCTTTTGGGGGGGCGCTTGCTGCTCGGAACAGTTGGCACAATTAACAAATGAAACGGCCAGCACAGTTCTTTATATAAGCAAGGTATTATTGTGGCACTCAAAACGTGATCTCGCCGCGAATTTATCACGGCTCCGAGCCGCGATGCTCCACGGTTTCTACCCGTCTTTGCTGAGCTTCAGCTACGGCCCGAACTTTTGCCGTTGTTCTGCAAGTTTTTCGCTGTGTGTCCGTCCCCCTTTCTGATACCATGGCACTGCATCCCACAGCTAGAGCTTCGTATCTGGGAAGTTTGGATGCTGACCTCAAATGGGGGGTGGGTGCTTAGGCTGGTGGCTAAACAGACGATGGCCCAGGCGTGACGACATGCGCTTGGAGTCAAGAAATGTGACAGTGGGACCTCCGTACAGTGTCTGTTGAAAGTTGTGCCACAAGGGAGGGTTGATTATGCGTAAGAAAAGTTAGTTACAAATGAAATTGCATTTTAAAGATGCTCTTCGTTGCGTAAAGATGCGTTAGCAGATTAAATATCTAAGAAATAAGAATGAAATTCTCAACCAACTTCCAGTTGCTACGGAATATCTACCCTAATATTTTCTCCATAGAACTATCTAATACCCTGCCAATTTCTAAACCAGCTTGCGCTGAAAAGTATGCCATCGTCTTGTAGGTTTTCTCTGGCCCCCGCATATGCAAAAAACTCTGTGATATTTTTCGTGTTCAACATTCACCATTTGGTTGAAGAAGTTTTTATTTTCCTCTTCTCAGAGCATTGCTGTTGCTGCCACTTGATCAAAGATCAAAGTCTGAGGTGTTCGTTTCGTGTTGGAGTTCAGGAAATTAGTAGCCGCCGCGGCCGCCACGTCCGTAGCCACCGAGTCCATGGCTGGGACCATTGTAGCTTCCGTCAATCTCGTAACGGGGAATGGCATACTGGCTGTAGCTGCCAGGAGCGACGGCAGCAGCGGCGGAGGCGGCAGCAGCCGAGGCACGGGAACCAGAGGGAGCCGATCGCAGGATCTGAGGACGATCATAACCGCCATAGCCGCCACGGCTGCGACCATAAGATGGCACCAGGATCTGCTCATACTCCACACGATCGTTGCCGTATCCACCGCCGTAGCCACCACGGTTGCCACCGTACGAGGGATTGGCGTTGATGTAGGCGAAGAGAGCAAGGCTGACGCAGACGAACTAAAGGTGGAAAAAAACACAGGAGGATTAGCTGACTGGATCCTAGGGCAGAGGCTCTAAGGATTACTTACCAGGTACTTCATGGTGAATGCTTAGTTTTGTTGGTTGTGGGATAATCAATCAAACTATAACTATTAACAGCCCGAAACGCTTGCTTTTATACTCGACAAAGTTAGACTGGATATTTACGTGACCCATATACGGGCCACATATACCAAATATATGCCACATAATTGCTTAATAAATGTACATTAATAGTTGTGTACATAGGTATTTATGTACTCCATTTGCATGTACTCATTGTCGGTGTGTCTCGACTCGCGAGCCATTATAAAATCGCTTGGGGTTACGCGATGTTCCATTGTTTCCATGCCTGATTGTCCCAAGCCAGCCCCCTCGACGACAACACACGACTTTCTCAATGAACTCGCGAACGCGCCAATTCTCCATAGAGAACCGAAAATTTGTTGTAGAATTATTTGTCATTTGCACATTCTTGGGGGTAACGTTTTGTGGGCGGCTCAGTGGGCTTTAGGGAGTTGCTAAAACTGCTTCGTTTGATGAGGGATTCCACATAAGGAAACAGGGCGTATGACTAGAATTAAGTTCTCATTGGAGGACCAGCGTGAAAGGCTACTAAAGAGTAAAGGTTTGCCAAGAATTTTGAATGGAAACGGGGTGCTGCTTTCTTACTTCTATTCTCCCATAATCCTCCAAGAAGAACATCTACATAATTCACATAAGTCATCGTTTTAGAAAATCAACAACGTGTAGAAAATTTTTTAATAAATGTCACTTCAAAGCATTCTGCAAGATCTCTATGCATAAATCTTCAGCTTTTCTTTAGCCACTCCATTCATGCTTCATTTGCATTCACTTCTGCCAAAGCAAACCGAAAATTTTCCAGAACGTACCACAAACTGCAGCGCTTGTGCAGCTCTTAACAGCCCAAGCTAAATATGAGCCAGAAATCTGAAACCAAAAGCCACCCAAACGAATGAACTCTAGAAAGTTTAAGTCTTGATGTTTGGTTGCATTTATTCTTTAGATTCACTGTGTTTGTTCCGTTTCAATAGGACACCAATTCAATAGGATGACTTCCTGTATGCCTTCTTGGCAACGCCAGCCACTGAGCTGGAGGCAGCTGCCGCCGAAGCGCCCTGGGCCTCCTCAGCGCGTGCGTACCTCTGCTGGGGTGCACCATAGTTGCTGGGGCCGTAGGCAGGCTGCACACGACGTGGGGTCTCACGCCAGACGAGGGGACCGCCGGCACTGGGTGCGGCCAGGGCGAGCTTGGCCAGAGCAATGGCCTCACGATCTACGGGCGGTGCACCACCATAGCGGGAGCCAGAGACAGGTCCGTACTGGTTGCCAATGTCAGCATTGCCGTAGCCCGAGGCAATGGGTGCCGCCTCATATCCTCCCTGGATTTGGCCATAGCCTCGCTGTCCGCCATACGAGGGGATGATTGCCTTGACGGTCAGCGCAGGCTGCACCTGGTAGGCGTAGGCTCCAATTGGTGCACTGCCATAGCTGGGCCGGCGACCTCCATATCCGCTGGCAGAAACTGCAGCCACGGCGCAGATGAAAATGCACTGAGGGAAGGATTGAGATGAGTCTCTGGGGCTACGGAGGAGTTAAGGCTGTGCGGGGACTTACCATGAACTTCATCATTTTGGTATTTGGTTTGGTTTGGTTTGTCTGGTTGTGGGCTAACTAATGCCTGACTGCTGCGGATAGTATGTTTTTATACGAAATCCAGGCAATAATTATTCGCTTACGTGACTGGGGAATGTGATGCAATTTTGGCTCTCGCCGGAGTTTCCGAGTTCCCAAGTTTCCGAGCTCCCATTCTGCGCTTTGTGCAGCAATCTCAAGACGTCGTCGTCACCGTCAGCGACGTGTGCAGCAGGCCAGACCAGCGACAGAGTCCAAAAAGTCTTGGCTCTCAATTGGGCTTCGGTCCAGATAGCAGGCGTCGTCGTCGTCGTCGTCGTCGTCGTCTGTGGTTATGCCATCGTCTGCGGGAGACCCCAGCCCCAGTCCCATTACGCAACGTATTATGACTCGTGATCCCCTCCCAATGGCACTCAGAAGCAGCGTGAGAGCTCCACGCCCCATTTCACTGACCATTTGTGTCCACTTTTTTGTGACATTGACTCCACGGTGGCTCCGAGCTCCATGCGAGCCGTGACATCGTTTTTTGTTCGGTGACACACAAAAGCCAAAAGGCATTGGCTTCGATTTTCTGCTGCGTTGGTAGAATTTGTATACAAAAGCAAAAAAAGTTCAGATAAAATTACAATAAAATTATAAACAATAAAGCCCCTGGTAGAGGGAGGGAAAAATATGCCAAGCTAAGCTTTTTCTATAACAATAATAATTAACGAGTAAAACTTTGGGAATACTTTGCTCGAATGAATGACTGAAATAATGAATTAATTAGAAGTTGAAAAGGCTTAGGGGATCAGCATCCTATAGATGGATGAACATCGCCACAAGCCCGCTTTATTTGCTGCCATTAAACTTATGAATTATTTAAAAGTTTATAATAATACAACTGGGCAAACAGAACTACAACTACATATTTGTATTCGTATAACTTAAACATTAAAGCCATAATTCTAAGAGAATATCAGTGCAAACTTTTGATTTTCATATTTGTTAAAGAGTCTGCTAAGAGTTAAGAGTGAAATATTAAGGCATCTCCGCGATTAGAGCAGCCCCAAAGACCGAAGCCACTTGTTGCCCCTTGTGTTGAACAGCGACAGAAGCGATTGTGGGTGATCCAATCTTGATGTGTGACACGTTTTGGGCCCAAGACCCTCAGACTTTATAAGAGCCGCCGTGCCCATGGCCAGCACTGAGAACTTGGCACCCAAAACGCACACAAAATGAGAACTCAGCGACGCTGCAAGGTGAGTTAATTAAGTGATTGATATTGTAGATAATAATGTGGTGAATGCTCCAACAGATCCTACAACTGTCCATGGTGGTGGTGGTGCTGCTGCTGGTGTCGTTTCTGCAGATGAGCGGCGCTGTTGGCCGGGTTGGTGATGCGACCAGCGATGATTGCGGTTGCGGCAAGCGGGGCTAAACGCACACACACAGAGAATGCATCAATAAACAAGCGACAGCGAGCAATGCAATGCATACAATTTGATCGGTTTCTTTATGAAACCCCCTAGAAGACACGTACAGAGAGAGAGCGTTCTGGGTTCTAGCCCATGGCGAGGTGAGCGTCGCACATGGCTTGTAGCCGGCCGAGTAGCGTGTGCAAATGCTTTGCTGGCGCTACAACGTGTGCTGCTGCATGCTGTTCCCCTGTCCCATGTTTCCCAGTCAAGGTTTCCATATACATGCGCTTGTACAATGCCGACAGCTGTTTCGGATCCTTGCCGGTCAGCAGCAGCTTCGTGAGCGTCTTCAGTGCATTCTGCAAGCGGCTCTCAAAGAGCGACAAATGTGCGGCGAAGTCGTCATCAACCTGGCTGCCATCAATGACGTGGCCAAAAATGGGCTGGCACTGTAAACAAATCTCCAAAGCAGCTTGCATTTGCTTGATCTTCTGCGCCGAGTGGGTGGAAACTGGTCGAAACAAAGAAGGTGTTAGCAAGCGACACACCACACTCTTGGTTTAAACTTACGTTCTGCCAGAAATTCATGCAGGGATATGCGCTCAAGTTGCACCACCAGCAGATCACCCACCTCCTTGAGGCTGTCCAGGATTTGTGTGGACTTTTCGTAGTGATATTTGCACAGCTGCAGCGTGGCTTTGGGCAGCTGCGAGAAATCACAGCAGCCATGCGAACGCAGTTGCGAATAATGGAAAGAGGCAATCCTAAACAAAAGGAAAATGTTCTTGTTTATCTCTAAAATATCCGAGATTGATGATGTACCTTTTGTGTATCAAGCCAGCACGAAAACTGTAGAGCACTTGGCGTGCTCCAGCATGTTCCACATCGCACAGACGCAGTGCTTTCTGCAGTAGTTCGAGCACCTCTTTGGATGCCTCCACCAGGCTATTCTTGTCTGCCGCACTGTGATCTTGAAGCTGTTTGGCAAGCGTAAATGTGGCAGTGGATAGCTCCCAGTTGACAAGATCCCAGAGTTCGGCATTCGCTTTACGCGTATCCAGGCAGTCTTTGGCCTTCTCATAATAGTTGAAGGCCTCGTTATAAAACGCTTTTTGTGTGTCTAAAGTAATGGCACTGAAATGGTGGGGAGATCTATTAAATATAGATAAAAAATATAGTTATATTTTGTTGCTCATACAAACCTCTCATTGGGCATGGTTAGATGTGCACGCAGGCGCATAAATCTACCCATGTTGCAATTGAGAAATGCCAGATTAACATTATCCTGCACTGCGGTAAAGGCTTCAATGCCACGACGCAGGCAGTCATAAGAATTGACTGTGAGTTTTACGTATAGCGGTTCGGCAGTGGTATTCTCCTCAGGTTTAGCATCTCCGGCAGCATCCGGATTCTCCTTTTGCTTCATTACCTCACCGTACTCCTCTGAAATGTTTCAATTTCCATCAGATTTATCCACTGCATGCTGCAAGCACTTACCTTGAGCCCAGTACATGTACTTGAGTCCCAGCTCATTGCGTACATTTCCCAATCGTCGCAGCAACTCATTGCTCTCGGTCTTTTGGGCATGCTCCAGCGCCTGCTCGTAGCACTTGCAGCTGTGCAGCATCACCTGCTCGACGTTTTTGACGGGCGCCAGCGATGGCAACTGTTCCTCCTCCTCATCGCCCAGTTCCAGTGACAGTTCATCGCCAATCACACGCGTCGATTCATCCTGCTCTTTGTACTGCCGCACATACTCATCGATGGCCTCCCAGTGCTTGGAAATTTGAAAGAAGCAATCGCCAGCACGTCCCAGCAGGCAGCTCTGCTGTGAGACCACATTGGCCATGTACTTGTTGAGCACCTGCTGGCAGCGTGAGGCCAGCTCAATAGAGCGCAACGTGGATCCATACTGCTGAGACTCGTAGTGATGCTCCGCGAGTGTGGCACCCGTCAGGCAGGCCTTCTCCAGCAGCAGCAGCTTCAGGTGGACATTCCACGAGCCAAAGTGCTGCGTGTTGAACTTGGCGCTGAGCTGCTGCGTGTTGTCCGTGTTGGGAGTGGAGGTGGTGGCCAGTTCCTTGGACTTGCTGCCTTTGGTCTTTGCGGGCTTCTTGAGAGCTTGAGACT